TCCAAGTGCTAGAGACATGAGTCAGTCCAAGTGGGAAAAACCAGATACAGCCAGATGACCAAGGCTGCAGGCTCCTGACCCAGGGCTGTGTGCACATGTGCAGTAATGGTATCTGTGAGCTCACTGAGAGCACACAGATGTGCGGGTCAGGATACCTTGAGGCTGAGTTCTAACTAAGCAGCTCTGGTACAGCTGTGTGACCCTGAGAAGCAGCTCAAGCTTTTAAATTACATTTAATTAGCAAAAGATACACCTTATATTTCAGTTATTATTATTTTTTAAATCCAACCTTCCTTTTAACGTTTGAGTTTCTAGCATTCAAGAATAATCTAGACCAGGAATGGTGGCTCACGCCTATTATCCAAACTATGTGGGAGGTGTAAGTAGGAAGAGAACAGTCCAAGCCATCCTGGGCAAAAAATGCAAGAACTTACCTGAAAAATAACTAAAGCAAAAAGAAGAATCTGGTCTCCTGAGCTTAACTACAGTAAAAAAAAAAAAGGGCAGTTGGCTTTGCTGGTAATCATATATTTGGTCTTTTACTTTAATACACCCATTTGTACAGTCTTTTAATTCTCTCAGGAAAAGTGAAATTTCTATCCAATAGCATAGTCTTTTAAATCTGTAGACTAACACAAATTCTTATTTCAGTGGGCACAAGAGCAAGGCCTAATGGTGCTAAAATTAAACACACCAGGGCTTGTGGCCCATAAATGATTATGGAAACTTAAATGCAGATCAAGGTTAATAAAGCATGTTTATTTAAAAAGGCTGTCACCAACACTCTTTTGGATATGGCCATGACTCAAGTTCCTCTATGGAAAGGCAACTCAGGGCTGTGAGGTAACTCTGCAGTCATATCTCCCTGAAAGCAGAGCCTGCCTGGGGACAGAAGTAATGCATGCAATACTGCACCATGAGATGTGATGTAGTGAGCTTCACCTGGCCTTTGAGTCACAGCACCACATGCCAAGGGACAAGTCTACCAGCAAACTAAATACAATCTCAGAAAACAGTCTAAGAACCCTAAGACTACTCCCCAAATCAATGTAACCTGCTTCTGCTCAGTGAAAGCACAGGATACAACTAAACACAGGGACAGAACTCACAAGTATCTCTACCTCATGCAATGGAGAAAGACAGATGACGTCAACCATGCCTTGCCTCCAAATTCAAGGACATTTAAAGATTTAACAGTCAGGAAAAAACGAGACAACATGAGGTTTTACCACAGGAGGAAGTTCTTAGTCAAGATGCCCATTCTGATTTCTCTGAGTGACAATGTGTCTTATAAGTCCTGCGAGTACAAGAAGGGAAGTTTTTCCACCCTGAGGACCTTTGCTTCCCAGCTGCTGTGCTCTTAGCCTGCTCACGAACTGTTTTTCTCCCTGCCCTCCCTCCATGAGTGTCTGCCACTCAACAGGTCTCCTCTATTTATCTCATTCCTCAAAGTTGCTGTGAGGTGCTATTAACTTGGATTTATAGACTGGGGAACTCAGATCAGCAATGTCTTGTGACTTGGGGGCACCATGGCTATAAAGGAGCAGAGGTGAAACTCAAACCTTCATCTTCTGCTTCTAGATCTAATGCCAGGGTAGGAATGAGCTCCTGGTGGACTCAGCCTGGCCCTGGTTTGGCCAGGGCTATTTCTACCTCCAATAAGGCAAGAGAGAGGGTGAACAGGAAGCGAGAGAAGAGAATATATGATATTCTATTATGTTTAAAGGAATATTAATTTGTAGATGAACAGCTGGCATGGATTTCTCTACTGTAAGACAAGGCTTTTTCAAATGTTTCTTCTTTCCCTCCTTCTAGGTATGGCAAGAAACACATTATTTCCCTTGAAAGAGGGAGGTTCTGTCACCTTGACTGTAGGCAGTTTACAGAACTAAGAAAGGTGATGTATCTGCACTAGCAGACTGCCTTGTGTTTTTATGTAGCTGTGCAGCCACCAATGGAAGAAGTGTACCTTTGGGAGATGGGTCTAGGGATGAAGAGTCGACACCCAGCACATAGCCACTCTCCTCCCGGCTTTCATTCTCTCAAAGTCAGCTTGGGTGCTCCAGGCTGATTCCATTAACCAGCCCAGTACCGCCATCCCTGACGCTGCTGTCTGAAAGGGGCTCTTCTCGGGCACTAGGAAGTTCATCCGCTTCCACGTGACCACCTGAGGCCTTCCAATTCTGTCATGCTGGGAGGCCTTTGCCAGATTTTACTTTACGAGTCTTCGGGAAATTCTGATCTAAACCAATGAGCTAAAGGAGAGCTTTAGAAGAATGAAACACTCCAGCCTGTGCCATTAGGCACAAGTGACTCTTCTGAGGACCATAGGCCCCCAAAGAGCCCATATCAAAGATTTCTTTTGGGATATGACATGTGCAGGGGGTGGAGGGGAGGCCCAGCCTACTTTCCCTTCCTTCTCTGACCTCTCATGGTTGGCTTGTCACACATCTCCTGATTCTTCCTTCCACAGCAGTGGGTAGGAAGTTCTCTTCCTCAGGAGGGAGACTTTTGGAACCTCTCTTCCTAGCTGTGACTGCCTCCACAGAGTGTGACTGACTTGATGGTCCAGGGGACTCACGATCCCCTGAGCAAAACAAGTGAACCCCCCAAGTGGGATTCATGTGCTATCAAGATGAGACACCACTGCAAGCAGTGCTGACAGAAAGGCTCTGCCTTTCAGTTGGTTGGCTCTAACACCTCTCTACACTATTGCTTTGTGCACAAAACATCTGGCTCATCAGTGACTTTGACATTCAGAGTCAAGAATTCTTTGATGCCACGCCACAGCTTTTCAGGCTTTATGGCAGGACATCTCATATAATCAAAGCATGATGTGGACAGGGAAGCACACTGTATGCCTGCATCCTCAGAATGTCACATGCAGAGGGCTCTGACCCGGCTGGGTGGCAGGCAGTGGGTCACTCTGCCTCTTAATCCTCATCAAGTGACTGCTCACAAGACTCCTTTAAGTCTTCTTGATTGAGACACAAGCTCAAAAGGGCACAGACTTCCCTGTGACCGTAAAGTAAGATGATTAACAGGGCACATTCAGACACTGAGGGGAGAAAAGTGGGGGTTGCTATTGAGGTGTATGTAAGTGTACATGCTGAGAAGACAGGAGGAGAAGAAGGCTCCCGGGGGGGAGGGGCGGGAGAAATGACCCAAACGTATACACAAGCCCCACCCGTGAAAGTCATTGGGCCATCTGTGTCCCTCACCTCCTCACACACAGGAGTCCGTTCCTGCCTGGATGGGTCTCAGCAGCATCTTCTCTGTTGCTTTCCAGCAGTACCATACTGAGTGTGATTGCTGAATACTCACTCAGCCCCTGAGCCATTTGTAAAAGCAAGGCCAGGACTTCATCTGCAAAATGGGGTACACTTTCATCCTCATTCTGGAACTTGTGTCTTTTTCTCCCTTTTACTTCTATGTTCATTTTCCTCCTTCCCTTCTGCTCATCTCTGACCTCTCTGTCACCTTCTCTCTTTCCACACCCTTTTCAACAGCCATCTCTGCTGTGAAGCCTCATGTTTCTCACCTCACCCTAGATGTTCCCTCCTCCTGGAACTCCCCATAGTTCAATTTTAATGACCAAATACCATGCTAGATGTGGAAGAACTGTTCGTACGAAAGAGAACTACATACACAGAAAGGTTCAGGAATATTTCTCCTCAGCAGCTGCACAGCCAGTCTGGATGGTAATCTCTTAAATCAGTATGTTCCACGTCCTCTGTGGCATTCTCACTACTCACGGGGTGACTCACGCACCAGCCGCTCCAGCACTCCCTGGGAGACTGGTTAAGTCCTGACTGCTGAGTCAGAATTTGAAGATTCCTACGTGCATTCAAACTTGAGAACCACAGGACTTTAAGGTACGACAGTACAATATCCCCTCCAGAAAGCCCTCCAGAATCTGGGACGGCTGGGCAACCTGGCTATCCCAGAAGTATCAGCACATGTGACTGCTGCCCTGCCAGGAACACAGCTGAAAGCCTGCCTGTGTTGAGGTGTGTGTACGGTGACACTTAGGCGAGCAGATCTGACTTCAAGCATTTTATCATAAAAAGCTCAAAAGTCACATCTGCATAAGAAAGACAGCGAAGCTTAGTCATTATCAGGCAGAGTGCTGAAGTCCTTGGCCACCGGAGGAAGGCAGTGACTTGTGGAGTCTTTCTCAGTAGCTGATAGCCCTTCTCCTTGGAGCAAATCAGCACACAGCACAAAGACTCCCTTCATTTCACAGTTCATGCCTGTTCACTTTAGCACATGTTCCTGAATACCAGCACAGGTCTGAAAGGACAGCTGACCAGGGCTGCCATGGCACCTGGTGCCTCTACAAAGCCCGGCTGGAGAAAAGCTCTCTATAAACCTGCAGAAGTCACCCCCTCTACCCTACCCTGTGGGACATGGCAACCTACACTTTCCATCAGCAAGATTAATCTGGGATTCAAATTCCTCCCATCAATGATCTTTTCCTGATGATAGCAAAGCGGTTCCCAGAAAACTAGGCTGCGCCCAAACAAACAAATCATGCTGGATTATGCCTAGTGATAATTTAATCATTTACTTATAAGATACCTCTTAGAGAACAGGCCTTATTTAAGCAGAAGGTTTAGAAGACCAAAAAGAAAAAGAGAAAAGAAAAGCATTATCAAGAAGAGAGGCAGATTAACACAGATGGGAAGTTGGGTGGTGCAGTTTGATCTAGGTTAAGATCCCAGCCCCACTTAGATAGTCTTGTGCTGATCTGCCTGAGCCATGGTGTTCCCTCCTTTCAAACAGGCTGACAGCAGCCATCTGGTGGTCCTGAGGATAACTCGAGAAAACACACAGGGTCACAGAGCATAGTGCCTCATTCATGAGAAAGCCTCAGTCAACATCAGATGTTGGTGTGCTGGTATGCAGCTCCCCCAGGGCGGCCAGAACCATACTCTGGGTTGAGAAGGCAGGCCAGTGGTCTTCAAGGCTGCCCCACCCGTGGGCACCTTCCCACTCACCTTGATCATTTCTGCCACATAGCTCTCAGGCCCAGTGTATTCTGTGGAGTCCTTTACTTTCACCAGAACGATGAAGCACAGATAGTGCCACATGTTGTGTTCTTCCTTGATGTGTTCTTCAAAGGTGACAGTCTTATTGTCAAACTTGTCTCTTTCCAAGCCTAAAAAAGAGACAGAAAGCCCTCAGCCCCAATTGAGCAGCATGGTACAGAAAAGTCAATACAGAAGAGGCTGTTGTCTCACTCCTACCTTTACAGAGTTGGGTTTGTCAGCCTAATAAGTACACTCAGTTTCACATTATAGCAGGAAAACACAGGTTATGGGTTTGAGCCACCTGGGTTTGAATCACACCTCTGTCCCTTGCAAATTGCTACTTAATCTGCATGTGCCTTGGCTGCCTTGTGGGTGAATAGGAAACCTGCCATCCAGGTTCCAGAGGTGTTCAGGGGTTGAATGAAAGCAGGGATGATAGGCTTACACATATCAGGTAACCAGTAAATGTGAGGTCCCTTCTTCCAGAAAAGTACCAAAATGAGGACACAGTAAAGTTATTTGGGAGACAGAATAAAGATAAAAATAACTTTAAACAAATCTGAAACTCTAGCTGTTAAGTTTATACTCTGCAGAGGTCTGGGTGAGTAGTTGTGAACTAGTTGCTACGTATTCTAGAACTGAGCAAATAAGTAAGTGTATAGTGGGAGCTAGATTCCTCATGTCAAAGAAGGGTGCAAACAGGGAGAGGGAAGAAGGTAGAATAAATCCTGTAATGTTTAACTGAATTAGATGTATCAGTGTGAAAGCATCTTTTTCTTACATGTATGAAACTAGATGTAGGAACAGATGTAGACGTGTGTAGATCCATATGCATGTATACACATATACCCGTACTATAGATCTGTATCCTAATAAGGCCTGGGAGTGATAGGCACCAATAGGAAGGAGTATACCTAGTCCCCAGATACTGGCTTCTAAATGCCCTCTGCTACTAAGAAGAACCAGCACTTCAGGAGAAATGGCTGATTCTAGGGCTGGATGAGGAAAAGTACATTTAGCCTGAGCCTGAATTTCTTATGATGACAAAAAAGGAAGTACAAAGAAAACCATGATGACATACAAAACACATAAGCCTTGTTGAAGGGGCTCTTGCTGGCCAAGTGCAGGGCAATTTGAACATCAAAATAAATAAGGAGAGCCAGGTGTGGTGGCATATACCTGTAATCCCACTGCTCGGGAGACTAAGGAAGGCCAGGCTGGGCTACATAGTAAGACACTGCCTCCAAAACAAAACAAAAGTACCTTAACAGTGAAGGATTATAATCCACAGATTAAAATAAAAATCCATGAGTCCATGGTGTACAAATATACATGTATGGGAAAAAGAAAAAGTTCCTTCTTAAAAAGCCACTGAACATTGAATAAATGTGAAAAGAATAATAAAATGAGAAAATCATCATTTGGTCACCATTATAGTGACAGATTCAGGCAATAACCATCAATGGCTACTAAAACTAGGGGTGAAAGTTTAACATGAGGAATAATGTCATTTATGATAGAGAAAGCCTGCCAATTATCACCTTAACCAAGTGGTGGAAGCCAAGCGGTCTATGAGATGAAGTAGTGTCTCCTGATATGACACACTGAACAGAACACAAGAGCACGTCTTTGATATTCCTGTGAAAGAAACGCACAACCTCAATGCTACCACGAGGAACATCATAGCAACCCAAATAAGGGGACGATCTACAAAATGACTGACTTACATTCTTCAAAAATGTCCACACAGGCAAGAGAGGCATGATGGCTGAATGCCACACACGACCTGGGCCTTGCAAGGGGACACTGCTGGAAGGAAGCCTCAGATTTGAATAAGGTCTGTAGATTATTGTTCTAGATTCCAAACTGTGGTAATTATACTGTAGCTATCCAAGTGAATGTTCTTGTTTTTAGGAAATGAGAACTGAAATATTCAGGAGTAAGAAGGCATTGTATCAGCCCCTCACATTCAAATGGTTAAGAAAAATTGTGTGAATGAGTAAAGCAAATGAGGAAATAGAATTAATGTTTTGGGAATCTGGGTTGCAGAGTAATTCTAAAATTAAGTCAAGGAAAAAAGCTTATAAAAGTTCTTAAGGGGGCTAAAAAGAAAAGAATTTAAATGTTTAAACTGGTTTTTAAAGTATGTATCAGGCACGTATATATTTAGTACCTGTATTTTAATAATCCTGAAGTGACTACTCAGGTCCCACATTCCCACAGGCTAGTTTACATTTACAGACATATACTTCCTGCAGTTCTACTGGAAATGACTGCTTTGGTACCTGAAGCATCCCTTTTCTATAGTAGTTCACTTGTAGACTCAGATGCCTACGATGTGTCAGGATCTATGGCAGGAGCATTACGTAAGCTCTTTCCTAATGTGCGTGAGGATGCGTATCACACCCATTTCACAGGCGGTACAGAGAAGGCAAGTGAGCCGACCATGGTTACATGGCTAGAAAGTGACGGAAACTCTACTAGAACCAGGTCTGACGAGCCAAGTCTAAGTCCTGAACTGTTCTCCACATTCTAACAGAAGTATTTTTTCACTTCAAGTCTGATCCTATCAGCAGTGAAGACATTGGGCAGGTGCAGTTGGAGAGAGAGCTCCTTTTTAGTTTACTTAAAATGTGACCAAGGGAAGCTCAGGCAACCCAACCACAAAAAGACCCCGAGATGCATTTGTCATCAATAATGTTCGGTCACATTTCTGCTTCCAGAACTTAATTCCTTAAGACAAACTGGTGACTGCTGCCTTAGAGCTCATCTGCACTCCAAAACTTCCCAGCAGAAGACAGGCCAAGTAGAGAGCCCTGCTTCCTACTGACTGAGGACAGAGGCTCCAGAAACACAGTCAGCCACACCCTCCACGTCTCCATGTGCTATGCCTTCCCAAAGCTGGGCAGATACTCACCACAGATGAAGCATGTGGTCTTTAAGATCTCTTCCTTCTTCTGTTTCTCACTCCTCAGATCAGCAAAGGTGTCGATGATGACCCCAAAAATGAGGTTAAGGACGATGATGATGACCATGAAGAAGAACAGGAGGTCATAGATCACTCTTGCAGCAAAGAGGGGCTCCTGGTGAAGAGAGGTGATGAGATTAGGTGGATCCCTACCTGCCCCTTACTCCACAGAGCTTGGGCCCAGTTTCACATGCATGGCTGGTAAATGGGGCATCGAATTTTAAAACCCACAATTACATTTCTTTTCATGCCCTAGGTCTACATTGTGAATTCTCCAAATGTGTGACACAACCAGGAATGTTCTGGAAATGTCTTTGGGGAAGCCACACCCAACTCTGAAGGAGACAAGTACCAAGTCTATGGAATAGGGGAACACAGCTGCCCCCATTCCCACACAGCTGACCATACTGCATGGCTTCAATGTGACAGAAAGTGAATGAGCTCTTCCAAAAGCGGTGCATCACACTCCCAGCTCTTCCTCTGTGCCTTCAGTTGACACAGTTGAAGGGCCCCTGTGCCATTCCTTCACCTTGAGATCGGTTTACCTCTTTGGATGGCTTCCTGAGCACATCTCCTACTCCACCCCCGCTCCGTAGCCCGTGACTCAGTACAGTGACGATGCACATCAGCAGTGTCTCACATGTGTGCTCCTTATCCTGCTCTGTTTCTTCTACAGGGACCAGCTCTGTTAGCAGGGCAAGTCATGACACAGTTAAAACACCAGGGGAAAAGAGACACTGTTACTCTACAGTGATGTTTCCTAAATGCTGTATCACTGGCTGGCAGGCACAAGAAATAAAACTAAGGAATCAAGAGTCAGATACTTGCTTTGAAAAGCTAATCCCAGTGAACTTTTCAAGCCATGCCACTGTTGCCCTTCCTCTATGAAATCTCAAACATTCCCTTTCCTTTGCAGCAGTTAAACTCTAACCCTGCTGTGAACACAATAGTCTCTCTAGCCACAGACCAATTTCCTACCACTCTGAGTTATAGGCATCTTGCTTCTTAGGTGAGGGACCTACCACAGGACCTGGTTCCTCACCAGGGATGTTGTGAGAACTAAAATGTCACTGGATTTATGGCAGGTCCCTGGATCAATGGCTTTTCATGGAGGCAGAACCATGCCCTGCTGCCCGCCTTCTCCCCTTCTCCAGGTGCAGTGAGATCAGTTTTGCTAAAATGTATTTCATGTTATCATTTCCCTTTTAACAACTCCCAGTCATCCTTGGACCTAACATAAGACCCTTCATGACCTGACCCTTTGGTTGTAGCATTTCATGCTACTCTCCTTCCACAGCATCTTTTTTTTTTTTTTTTGTGGTACTGGGTTTTGAACTCAGGGCCTTGTGTTTGCTAGGCAATTATTCCACAAAATCTTTATCTTCCCAAATTTACTGAATTTTACCCTTAAGCTTTTAGATATGCTTCTCCCTCTACCTAGAATACTCCTACCCCTTCCTCTAGCCAAGATTCTTCAGTTTTAGATCAGATACTACCTGCTTGATGATACACCATTTATTCTAGTATTAGGCTGGGTGCCTATTTTCTGTATTCCATCCTTAGTCTCAGCATTTAGCATATTCTCTAGTGATCACCTATTTACCTGCCTGCCTCCCCGACAACACAGATCAGCCAGTAAATACTGGTTGAATCAGTAAGCAAATACTTTCTTCACATGTAGCTTCCTTTTCCCTTCAGCTCCATCCTCTTTCCCAGCCTTTCCCCTCATTACTAACTTCTGAGTAGTGTATTTGCTCTCATCTCATCCCCCTCATCACCCAGGTCTCTGGAGGAGTCTGGGATTCAGTGGGGTTTATGTCCATGAGGTCCTACCTTCTTTGGGTGCAGGAGAAGAACAGTTATCCCCCATCTCCACCCTGCACACGTCAGAGTACAGGAAGTTGCTTGCCAAACTCTCGCCAGTTTCTGGGAGAGAGAAGGAAATTTTTTGATGAACAGTCTGGCAGCATATGGTTAAAATGTTTGAAGTCCCCAATTCACGGCTGATTAAACAATCTTTTACATAAATAACACCCTCCCATACTGCATATGAATTCAAAGCAGAGATGCGATTTACACTTTCATTTGGTGATCTGGATGGGAAAAAAGCCAGCAATGTCAATTCCTGTAGGCTTACTAGAAATATCGCACTTAAATAGCACCTCTTCAACTTTAAAGACAAACCACTGAAACTCTAAGACAGACAGTACTGAATACACAGACTCCAGCAAGACTTAGACCAATCTGCATGGGAAGCATCGGTGGGCATGAATAGAAATCCAGGGTCCAAACAAAAAATATTTACCAAGCATTCACGATAGCCTGGCACTGTGTTAAAAGACAGCCTCTGCTGTCAGTGGGCTTACAGTCAACTAGAGCGTGACGGATATGTAAATGTAGGTGGAAAGGTGCTGTTATCTGTGTGTCCCGATATTCATGGTACACTGAGGCACCAGGAAGGTACACTGAGGCACAAAGGTAATGCTGCTGAAATTATTAAAAAGACTTTACAGAGGTGCTAGCAACTTGAGTTAAGTTGGAAGCTCAGTTAGCCAGGAAGAATAGATAGAATGGAGAACTGACTGTAAGAATGGACAGCAGTTAGGGGAGAACTGCATAAGTCCAGGGTGGAGACAATAACATCTTGGAGCAGTGAGAATGGCTAGCACACCTTACTGAGAAGGCCTCATCGAAGGAGCTGAGTATTAACTATTCATTGAATCTGTGAAAGAGGAAACTAGGAGAGACATGGAATATCAAAGAAGTAGAGCTGAGCCTGTAATCCCAGCATTTAGAAGGCTGAGGCAGGAGAATTGTCAGTTTGAACCCAGCCTGTCTCAAAAACAACAATAACAAAAAACAACAAAAACAAAAAACCAACAAAAAATGTTAAAGAAATAGATAAGATCATTCATTTAACAAATGTATATTGTGCATGTACTAAATGTCAAACACTGTCCTTAAGTGATGAGAATTTTGAGTTAACAGAACAGACTCTGTTCTTAAGGGGAAAAAAAATCCCAGGGTTCTGACTAGTTTAGTTCAGAACCCAAAGGTAGGTGACAGTAAGTGCCACTTAGTGTCAACTGGAAGCTGAAGTTAATGCCAAGATGCAGAAATTGGGAGGGAGGAAACTAGGCTGCCAGGCTCTGTAGGTCACAGTCACTCGGGTTTGCTAAGTAGTGGCAGCTATTGTAACTGAGAGGAAAGAGCACTGGGTATCACTCAATGGTCTGGGCCATTGTTTTTCATTCTCAAAATTAGAAAGTGCTTCTATTTTTTGCTATATATACAAATATCACAAGCTCACTATAAAACCAGCAGATAGTAAAGCTCCAGAGAGAGCCACTGCTAGCAATTTGGGGGTATATTTGTCCACATTTTAAAAGACACACACACACACACACACACACACACACACACATGATCTCACTCTGGCTATTGTTTAATTTCCCACAGGATTTTTCTCAGTGTTTTCCATGAAGGTTTATCAAGATGTATCCTATGTACATAGTCTAATGAAATACCACCTTACATTTAAATTGCTCCCCATTTCACACACAGTGAACATTCTCCTGGATGTCAATTTTCATATATGCAGTAAGCCATCTTTTTTCCTTAAGTATAAATTCCCAGAAGCAGATTCATTAAGTCAAGGGGATACACACTCCTGTGCTTTCAACATACATGGCCAAAATGCTTTATGGAAAAAAGTTGTGCTAGTTTAAAATATGACACCAGTGGATAAATTAATGGAAGATCCAGCCACTCACCCTCACCATGTAATATATGACATCACCATTGAATAAAGTAAGAACTAAGTCCTGTATTCACAATCCATACATTGGTGTTAAGGAGATATGTATATTACTAAGGTAATCTTCTCTACTTCAATTCAATTAGGAAATACTGTTTTAACATAAAAAAAAAAAGATCAGACGATCCAAAACCCACCTGGAACAGCTGTTTCATTAGGCAACCTATCTACTTCCAAGATAAAATCATCCTTGAAGAAGAGATAGCCCACTATTGAGAACAGGTAAACCAGGATCAGAGCCAGAACTGCTGTCAAGATGATGGACCGTCCATTGCGGGTGACACTTTTAATGACATTAAGCAAAGTCTCTTCTCTGTACACTAAATCGAAAAGCTTCAAAAACAAACAAGAAGACAACAGGACAATTTTTAAGAAGCTTCTATATTGGATGTACATCAATAACCCACAATGAAAACAGTCTGTAGACCATTCACTCCCCTTAGAAACTTGGAAGCATTACACGAGGATCTGAACATTTATCTTGTCTGTCTGCCCTGTGAGAATTAAGATAGTGAAAATGACAAAAAAAAAAAAATGGAAGAGGGGGTAGGAAGCAGTAATAACTTGAAGTAGTACACAGAGCAGCTCAGAGGTCCTAGGAATAGAATCCGTGAGTTTCAGAGAGTAAGGGAGAGAACAGTGGATGAGGGTTTTGGCATACATCCAGTTAGGACCAAATTTTGGAGTTTCTTTTAAAGGCCAGCCGCCCCGATCCCTTGTCCTTCTGGAGCCAAGTGTCTTGTGGGGAAGGAAGGCATGCCACAAGCTTGTGCAAGCAGCACGGACTCTGGGCTTCACTTAGCTTCTTACTGCCCCTGTGATCCTGGACTAGGTACTTGCCCTCTTCTCTTCTCAGTTTCCTCATTTGTAGACTGAAGGATATACAGTTCTTATGAAGGATGAAGAGGCAATGTATATACAGCACTTAGCACACTTACATGCTGAATGAGTACAATAAATGGCAATTATCAACTTCCTGATGAAGAAAGAGACTGGAGCAAGGTCAAATACTATATGGCAGAGACATTCACAGTGTTGATGTACAGGAAGCCTAGCTACTTGTTCTCTTCCCCTTCTCCAGGGCAGACTCCTACAGTAGGGACCTGGCTCTGTGAAGAAGCTGGCTTCAGGAGGGATGGAGGATCCCTGGAGCTACACACAGGGGAAGACTGACAGCTAGATTTCTAAGAACTATAATCACAGCTCTTTGGCTGGGGGGAAGTGGTGGGGAGCAATGGGAAGAGAGCTCTCTGGGGTTATTCTCAGACTTGGAGTCCAGCTTATTTTTTTCTTTCTTTCTTCTCTTTTTAGATATGTTCTCACTCTGTTGCCTAGGCTGGCTACAAACTCTTGATCCTCCTGCCTCAGCTTCCCAAGTAGCTGGGATTATAAGTGTGTGCCACCAGGCCTGCCTGGAGTCTAGTTTTTAATATGGCCTCTGTGCTAACACCTAGTTCTCTTCTGAAGGTTTGGTCTCCACTGTGGCTTTGGGTTATGACTATGCACAGTGAAGTCAGTCAGAGAGAAAAGGTCTAGCTCCTGACTTTGCTTTTAATTTGTGGTTAAATGTTGATCAAGGCATGTAACCTCTCTGGACCTCAGTTTCTTCATCTGTAAAAATAAATGGGTTGAATTAGCTGATCTCTGAATCCCTTCCAATTTAGAATTTTTCATCTGAGTTCATTTTCTGGTCAATTAGCTTTTCTGGCTCTCTAACCCCAATCTGTGTCCTGAAACTAGTTCTGTGAAGGGAACTGGGTAAAGCAGGATCCTTGAAGGAAGCAAGGAAGAGGCATTTTGTCAGTTTAAGAGTGTGAAAGGCTAAGCCTTGCTGTTATGTTGGTTAAATATTTCCAGCCTCCTCCTGAAGAGTTAAGAGCATGCCACACAATAAACAAAAGGTGCTGTAGGGATTGTATAGCCCACTGCAGAAACAACAAGTGACCCTTTTTTTGTTTTTATTCATTAATAACTTCTGATTCTAAAACAAAAAATGCATTTTTATATAAAGGAAAATCTTCTAATTAAAAAATGACCCATGTTCAAGAAAGCACAAAAGAGCACAAAGAAAAAAAATCTCTAATAATTTGATCATCTACAGATATCCAAGCTATTTCCTTCTGACTTTTAGAAGATGTAAGATATATACATATCTTATATAGAAACATACACTTATAAAAATATTATGCTATAAGACTGACATATAGCCACTCTCTTTTACCCAGCAGTCATGAACATTTTCATCTAAAAAATCTCCTAGTATTTGATTGTAAGGAAAAACCTGAAAGTAACATAAACCAATATATTTTCTTGAACAGTCAAGATGTTTTTAACTATGTACCACTTAAAAAAATGCTGCAATAAATACCTCTGTATATACCTCTGTATGTACTTGCCTAGTTATTTCTTTTGGGTTAAGTTCTAGAAATGGCAACTTAAGAGTCATATGTTATAATAGAAACACATTGCCTACTGCTGTCCAGACAGGTTATATCAATTTGTACTAATCATTAGTAAAAAACTGTACCCATTTTGTGCCAAGTGCCACCAGTACTGGACACAGTCATTCTTTTTAACCTTTTCTAATGTCACAGGTAAAATCTGTCGCTGTTTTAATTAGCATGTCTTTGCTTAGCAGTAAGGATGAACATGTTTCCATGTTGACTGACCATCTGGATTTTTCCTTTTGGTCACCTGCCTGCCTGTGAACTTTGCACATTTTCATCTCCGGTGTTAATATTTCTCTAAGCACACAATGTGAATGCAGGCTTGAGACCAGGTCCAGCCAGTCTCTGGGGGGCTGTGGCACTTTAATTAGGCCACCAGATTACCCTATATCCCTCCCTCCCTCCTGGCCTGCTGCCACAAGAGTGCTCTCACACCTGGTAGGCATGGGTTTTCTCTGCTGGAGGTCTCCTTCCTTTTACAGAAAACCCAGCTTCTTTTGGTGGCAGAATTTCCTTCTTTGTGGAATAATTTAAACAGTTTCAGTATTGTGTCTATGATTTTCACCAGACATATACAGTACTGCTTTTGAGATCAAAAGAAACTCATCACTTAAGGCCAGGCAAACCAAGGTCCAGAGGGCTTAGAAAACCCCAGAAGCACACAGGAGAAGCGCCCACCATGATCTAGACTGACCCTACTACATTTTTCTAAAAGGGAACTCAGCTCAGGTAACATTATCGGAAGCTCAGAGTTTGTCATTCTGTAATAGGCAAGATATTTGAAAGCACAAATGCAAACTGTAATGTGAAATACCAGTTTCACGGAGACAGGGCGTTTTCCCTGTGCTCAGATGAACAGTGATTTAGACTTGGGGGGTCAACAGAGTTGAGGCACCATCCTGTCTCTACCATTTACTGACTGTGTGACGTCAGGGCAGAAGTTACCTAACCTCACCAAGCCTCTGTTTCTTCATCTGTAATTTGAAGACGTTATCTGTCTCAAATGGGGTTGTGAGAGGGTAGGGAAGAGTACACAGTGAGCACTCAATAAATAGTAAGAGCTATTGTTTTCTATACTGTGAGGCCATGAGATAGGGCTTGTGTTTGTCCAACTACTCTAATCCTCTGTGTCTAGCTAGGTCATGGGCTGGCTACGCAAATGAAGAGAAAAGGAGATGACATCAACCGGAGGGAGACAGTAGGAAAAGTCAAACTCTCTACTAGGAAGAGCTGGCACTGTCCAAGGGGAATGTCCTGTCTCTTAGAAAAGACCCCTTGGCAGGGATAAGAGAGACCACCAACTGAGCTGTGCCCTGGAAGGACAGGAATTTGATGGATTGGCAAGCATGGGTCTCGCTGACTCACAGGCCAGAACCTCATCCAGGGATGTTACCCGTGACACAAAAAGGTTCCGAAATAGACACAGGGCTCTAAAGATTTCTGATTTAAGTGGCCAAAATAGGGCATATAATGGCAATCAAAAGCATATCCCGAGACCTCTTTGCCTAAAACCTCAAAGCATAGCCAGAACTATTTTAAAATGAGGGAAAATGATCCATTCTGTTTAGGCTGCCAACATCCACCACTAATGGAATGAGCTAATCCTGGTGAATTCTTTATGGTATTTTGGAGGGAGAGGGAATACAGGATGACAAATACAATAATACCTAACAATCGTGTTGCTGTGCTATTCTAAGACTTGACAAGATAGCCCTGTGTGGAAGACATAATATTCTCTTCACCTGTAGAAGGAGAAACTGAGGCTCAGAACGACAAAGTAACCATATGGATAGCAACTCTGTGAAGAGCTTTTCTTGACTTTTGTAAGTCTATCCTTTTCTTTTTAAAAGTCAACAATGATGCCTTAATCATATTTAATCCTCACATTTTTGTTTTTCTAGTCTCTTTATGATAGGTATATTTCATAGTCCCTGTCATGTTAACAGATACAAAGAAATGGTCACCTCCAATGCTACAGATCTAGGTGCCCTCTAACTACAGGACAGCAAGCAGTTATTTGATTTGTAATTTAAAAACCAGCTCAGAAGGAAGGTGACAGAACCAACTCATTCCCTAAACTGTCAACACCATAACCACTTGGCTAAGTGGGAAAAAGTAAATTCTGTTTAAAAGGTCCCCTGGCTCTACAGATATATTGAGGTCATTATCAAGAGTTGTGGGCTTTGCTCATACACTGTTAGTGGGTGTATAAATTAGTACAACCACTATGGAAAACAGTATGGAGGCTCCTCAAAAAACTAAATATAGAACTTCTCTATAATCTAGCAATACCACTCCTGGGGATATACCCAAAGGAACGTAAGTCAGGTTACAATAAAGGCACCTGCACACCCATGTTTATTGCAGCACTATTAACAATAACTAAACTATGGAAACAGCCAAGATGCCCCACTACTGATGATGAATGGATTAACAAAATGTGGTATTTATATACAATGGAATTTTATTCGGCCACAAAGAAGAAAAAAATTTTGTCATTTGCAGGTAAATGGATAGAACTGAAGAATATAATCTTAAGTTAGCCAGGTTCAGAAGGCCAAAGGCCGCATGTTTTCTCTCATATGTGGAATATAGACCTAATACAAATGCAAGCAATATTATGAAAAACAGGTCTCATTAAGGGGAGGTCACATATGAGGGAGGGAAGGTAAAAGAAGGAAGTTAAGAAGGTGAATATGGTTGATATACTTCCTATATGAGAATTAATACAGAATTTTTTAACCTGTTGAAATCACCATAAGAAGGAGACTAAAGTAGAAAGGAGAAAAATAGAGGAGATGAACAAATTCGGGTTATAATACATATATACATGGAAATATCACAAGGAAACTCCCTGTATAACTATCTTAAACAAACAAGAATGTAATTTTTTTCTTTGATAAAATTGGAAAACAGGACAGCAGAACAGGTCCTCTCTGGGGGGGTTGCTACCAGTAAGGAGGGAGGAGGTGGGAAAATGGTGAAGGAGGGTGAATATGGTGCAAATACTGTGTACCCATGTATGTACATGGAAAAATGAGACCTGTTGAAGCTGTTCCAGGAATGGGGGGAGGAGAGGATAAAGGAGAATGGTGGAGGGTGTGAATTCAACTATGCTATATTCGACATATTGTAAGAACTTTTGTAAATGCCACAATGTACCCCCAGCAAACACAAAAAAATTGTGGGCTTTGAAAGTTGCCCTATCTTTATGGTCTGCGTGTTTTCATTGGGAAATGGATCCCATGGGAACTGTAGATGATGACAGTCTCAAAAACATTCCCCTTGGTAAATGTTGCCTGAGCGTGTGAAACAAAGGTGCAGAGAGGAAAATATCCCCTGAACCAGATGGAGGCTTCTTCCATTCCTGGAAAGTAACAGATGTGCTGTGCACGGGCACAGTGTGATTGTGTACCTGTGGCTTTGCAAGAGCTGCCCTGTGTAATGTATCACTTTCCTCTCCGATTTCTGAAAGTTGGGTGCTGGGGCCCTGGACCTTGCTGGACCAGGTATACCAGTCATCATTAACAGGAAGGGCCCGTGATGAGAAAGAACAGAGGATCCTCTCCTAGTTCTCCAAACATAAAATATTTCGGCACTTGTACTCACCAGCAAACTATAGAAGAATTCATGGACAAAAAGCCCCATGGCACAGATCAGCAGATACAGCAAATGATACAGGAACTCCACATCCAAAACCATGGCTCGGTAGCCTCTGGTGAATGTTCCACAGTTGCCCACAAAACTCATCAGAAAGATGATTTTATTGCAAACCTAAGAACAATGACAGAAGAGTCAGATGGTATGGACCATGCTGAACTGCACATGAGGACTCGGAGATTCTCTCTCCCAAAGGTATTTCAACACCAAATGCCCACCAAACCCTTCCAGGACCTTTCTATAGCTCCACGTCATTTCATGACTTTGCTTTTCAGGCATATTACAAGTAACATGGTAGTCAGATAACTTCATTTGCAAGGTTAATCAAGCAGCGTTTGTATATGGCAAAAACAAAATTAACACATACTGAGACTATGATTTTCAAAATGAGTTATGAATCATTTCTAACATTCTTGAATGAGTTAGTCAAACACAGAAGTCACCTCTATGCCTGAACTCTGTGATCAGCATGATTCAAAGTGCTTTCTGGATGCTACATTCTAGGCATTACAAGGTTGCAATTTAGTGAGAAGCAGACAATGTTTCTCTTTCATTGCTCCTAAATTCAAAAGGAAAATGAGAATTTCCTTGGAAAATAAAAGTAAGGAATGTCAGATGAATTCTAGTCCCTGTCCTTTCTTCTGGGAATAACTCCTGCTTTTCCTTTGGGGATTCATCCCCTTCTTCTTGAGGGGATGAATCAGTTCTTGAGGTTTGGGTGGGGCTCCATCTTGGTCAATCACAGTCTTGGATTCTTCTAGGTGTAATGATTGTTCAAAGAGGCACAGGGCTGATCAGAACCAATGAAATTCATAATGATCTTTCCTGGGATGGCAGCAAATGACTATTTTGGTCTTCCACTGAACTTGAACTTGAGAGTGTGTAATCTCTGGAGCCGCTGGGATCCTTTTGCCATATTACAGATTTTAAGAGTACCCTTACTACAGAGGAGGACAGAGAAACTGGGTCCTGCTGCCACTGTCTGAGCCACTGTATTCAGGGCTGTGCCTGAAGCCAGACTCTTGATTTTGTGGTCAAATGAACAGATTTTTCTCTTCTGTTTAGGCTAGCATGGATTAGATTTCCTGACTGAAGGAGACATAGCTGATTTACTGGATAATTCAGTCCCACCTGTGATGGAAACTCCATGACTACAAGTTCACATTTAATAACATGTAGACAGAAAAAGTTTAATCAGGAAACTGCTGGAAAGGAAGCTCTATGAAGGCACTTGGTAAAACCATCTTCTGCTACTTTAGCTATCTTGGCCACAGGTGCCAGGGAGATTCTGCCAACTAATCTGTAGGTAAGTGTTAAGTGAGCCTCTCAGCAATCAGATAAGTGAGGAAACCAACACCTACAAAAAACCTCTGGTATTCTCAGGCAAGATATGCCACCTGCCGGGTTTTCCAACATTCTAAACTTTGCTTATGAGGCTCTTTCACAGGGTGGAAAACCATCACTGACTGGCTGATCCATACTGATGGGGTCTCAGAGAGAGTGTGAGGGATGGAGAAGGGAACTATGACGCTTGGTTGACATTATAGGACCTCAAACATGCCCAGGTTCCTATCACTTTAGCGGGAGAGAAATCCCCATCACTGGACTCCACTCTTCTCTTTAACTTTTATTGCTTCTCCAGCAACTAGCTCTTATTCATGGTCTTAGCCTGCTATCCCCACTCCCTACTGACTCTCTTGATCAGTCTTTGACATGACTTCCAGTTCCACCTCCTTAGAGAAGCAGCCAGGGATCTTGCCAGTGCAGATATGCTTCTTTCCCCTTTCTGCTCTGAGCATCCATCCCAGCTCTCCATGGTATGACGACTCATCACTCCATCCTAATCATCTGTCCCCAGTGCTCAGCCTTCCTGACACCACCCAGTCCTCCTCCTCTAGCCCTCAGACGTCTAACACGCCTTTCCTGTCTGCAGACACTCTTCCTTTTTCCACATGCTCAGGTGGGATTTCTCTCTCGTCTCCTATAAATGATTATTGTAGCTGCTTTGGCTTTTTCCTCTCTAGCCAATGTTATTATAAATGGTAATTAATTTGAATCCTCCCCACAAGTGATTTGTGTTAAAGAAGTGGTAAGTGTGGGATGACTAAAGGACAGAGAAAAAAAGAACTAGAGAGTCCACAGCAGACAAACTCTGAGGCATTGAGCTCCTCCCTCCCTCCCTCCTTCTCTCCTTCCTTCCATCCTATGTTCTTCTGGAATAGTGTCTTCCCACCACAGGTGGTACCTACATTCCCCTCTCCAGCATGATTTCTCTGGCATTGCAGTCATGCATTTCCAAATGCCAGAGCTAACAGTGTGTCCTGTCAACTCAAGCCTGATAAAGCAACAATTTGAATGTATTTTCACCCTGCAAACTCAATCATTGTATGACTTCCTTTTAGTTGGTGGCATTCTCAGTCATCCATGACTGGAAATTTGGAGTTATATTTTTCTCTTTCAACCAGTGAAACTAGCAATGTCTTCTCTGAAGAACACAACTCGGCAGTGCTGCCATCAGGTATGAGGCTTTCACTGTGCCCATCACATACCTGTGACGCCTGTACCTTCCTTCTTTCATCTACACTATGACCCAGGCTCAGCCTTGCCATTCCTCATCAAAAGCACCATGACATCCCCTACTGGCTTCCTGGCCTCCAGTACCTTCCACTCAAGTCCACCTAACAGATGAATGAATTTTATGAAGAATACCTTTGGATGTGACATTTCTTGGTTTAAAAGCATTGACTCTTCTTACCCCTGGGAACAAGGTTCTCAATGGTTACTCTATATAAAACTAATCCTAAGTGATACCTTTTTTTAAAAAAAAACCTACAGGCAGACAAACTTAGGAAACATAAATATGTGGGTTTCCTTTCTCAACCATGTTGGTATTTTAAGTCTCTGAGAAGACCTGCAGTAAAACAACAACAAAAACTTTTAATTTGGTTCAACTCAGCATTTCCCACAATCTAACTATAGAACCCCTCCCCTCTTTTTCCACCTAACTTTTGAGACAATGCTTTAGAAACATAAACTTGGAGGATGAACTCCAATCTATTTTTCCTAAATCTCATTGTCCCAGGTGACATACAGGATCCATTTATACCACACATCACTACAGAACCGCAAATGAGATCAAACTCAACTCTTTTTTTTTTTTATTCCTATGTTCATACAATGTTTGGGTCATTTCTCCCCCCTTCCCCTTCCCCCTCTCTAACCTCCCCGCCCCCTCCCTCTCCCCCACATCCCCTCATACCCAGCAGAAACTATTTTGCCCTTAACTCTAATTTTGTTGAAGAGAGAGTATAAGCAATAATAGGAAGGACCAAAGGTTTTTGCTAGTTGAGATAAGGATAGCTATACAGGGAGTTGACTTGCATTGATTTCCTGTGCGTGTGTGTTACCTTCTAGGTTAATTATTCTTGATCTAACCTTTTCTCTAGTTCCTGGTCCCCTTCTCCTATTGGCCTCAGTTGCTTTAAAGTATCTGCTTTAGTTTCTCTACATTGCAAACTCAACTCTTTTTAGTAGACTCTGGATCCTATAAAAGTCAAAATGCTCTTCTCAGTTCTGCTTCCTAGCCTGACCCTTTTCATTCTTTAAGCCACAACTTCAATTCTGCCTCCTCACCTTAAGCTTATCTTAGTTTCTTTTGTAGAGTCCTTGCTACCTTTGTCATCTGTATACCCCTTTGGGGACATAATTACTATATTGTCCTTATTTTGCAATATCATTTCCATGTATGTATGGGGATTTCAGTTTATGATATATATGCTCAGGGCAGAAACTTCTGGAAGACACTTTTAGATCCCCACAGTACCTATCCAAATTTTCTCCTTCCCTCCACCAGGAAACCTGTCAGTGTATGGTCTTCTATCAGCTGTCTTCATTTCCTAAGACTCCACCTATAGATGTAGGTGACCTCTGTCCTTTAACTGTATTGAAATGGCACTTCCACATCTACCACTGACTTCTGAATAACTGTCCCCAATTCTCTTCTCACTCTCTCCTATTCCATCCTTGTGTTTGAACAGCCCTCTTACTTCTCTATGTGGCCCTCACCACGAGTACTGTGTTGTTTAGTATTTGATCATTTGACTTACTGGCTAAAATCTACAGTCCAAAAAAACCTTTGGTCAGACTGGCAAAACTAATTTAAGTCTCAACTACTATCACTCTTTCTGCCTCACCCTTGAGAGGGATAGTCCATAAAAATGAGACTGTCAATGCACTAACAATGCACTTTGAGGCTCACTATGTCCTAAGAAGGTCAAGAGGGAGATGACCACCTACACCAATCTCTTGCTTTGGCTATTTTATCAACTGACAATATTTTTTTTGCGGGGGATGCTGAAAGCATAGGCCAAGATGCCAGAGTTCAGAATGGAAGGAATTACTATTTATCCACAAACACATACAGTGGTTATGGAACACATTGATACTCACATTGAAAGCTCCCAGTAGGAACAACGTGGGTTGTAACCCGACTGAAAATATCAATCGTAGAATTGTGGAAGCAATTAAGGCTCGGATGCCATGGGGCTTGGGGAGAGCAATGACGATGGCCAGAGAGATAAGCATGGCTGTCCACAGCAGACCTGACCAGTGAGGCTCTAGCGTTCCTGAAAAGACAAAGCAGGGCTCTCACAAATCAGTGCTTTCAGGGAATATAGGTGAGAGATCAAGGGTGGGCTAATTACACTTTTTTCAATCACCTCTTGGGCCTTTTGTGTCCCTACTCTATCCTCAAATTCTCTGCCCCAGACGTACACAATCATGGTAAGGCTACTGGACTCCAAGCCATCATACAATTCTTCCCTGGGAAATTCTTCTCCCCTTCTTATGTACCTTAGGTCTAGCTGAGATACTACCTCTTCTGGAAACCTCTATCCCCTTCCTCCTCACCATGCCAGGTGTTCCCTTACTTTCTGATCATCCCTGTGGGGTGGTATTTTCTTTTTCCTTTTTGGTGGTACTGGGGATAGAATCTATAGCTTTGTATGCCAGGCAAGTTCTCTACCACTGAGCTATATACCCAATCCATAGGATGCTACTTTGTAGTGGTCAATTTACTTGTCTGTCTGTCTGTCTAGATAACAAATTCCCTGAGGGAAGTACCTGCACCCAGTTGGCACCCACCAAATGCTTATTCAATAAATAAAATACACACATATGTCACAATTCACTCTTAGGGAAGGCGAACTGGAAGCCTAAACTTACTTTCTATTAAAAGTATTCAAAGGAAAACTGCAGGTCCCCTGGCTGAATCAGACTTCTTCAAGGGAAGGAGGAAGCAACTTCCGTATCATGAGATTGTCCCTGCATTCAAAGAGCTTCTACCAGTTTTTGTCATCTCTTGCTATTGCAAGTTCTATTTAGAGTGTCCCATGAGACATCTTGGTTATATAACATGAGCCAACGTGGCTAAAAATACAGCTCTGTAAAACACTCATTAAAAAAAATAAAACACCCCTATTGCAAATGCTGTCACATTTTGAGTCTCCCTTGGATGTAAACAAGCAGCACTACATGATTAAGGACACTTATATAAAGGAGTTGCACTTCTTTAGAATTGCTAGGACTACAGCACATCCAGCAAGAGGCTTCTGTGCAGGTTATAGCTCTTCCACAACCGAGGCTCACCTGCTTGTTCCCAAACCCCAGCCACTAACTTCTCCCTCCTTTTCATAACCCTTAAAAAGAAAAGCTGGTGAGAAATGGGTACCAAGAGGCAGAAACTTTGCAGAAATTCATGAAGTGGATTCTGGGGGTATATGTGTCCACTTACAATTTCCAGACATTGTATTTGCCCCTTTACCGTATCATTTATTCAATTCTCTCAATCATCCCACGATGCTGGTATAATATTTACATGTTACTCTGAAGGAAACCCAGTCTAGGTTATATACTTGTATATATACTTGGCCCAGGGTGACATAGTGAATGGCTGGAGGTTACATGACTTGAAAGTTAATGTCTTTAGTCACCATTAAAAAGAATCCACCCAATTTGAGTATCTGATTTGGCAGTTCATAGTCATGTAACTATTGTAATCAAGATATAGATGTTATTACCCTTGAGTTTCTTAGCAGTTGATACCTTGCCCCATCCGTCCCCCAGACTACCACTGATGTGCTTTCTGTCACTATTGTCCTGCATTTTCTAGAATTTCATAAAAATGGGAAAATAACCCTATTAGTACTACCTATTAGTAGGTAGTCTTTTGTGTTTGACTTCTTTCACCTAACAAGGGTTTAAGAGTCATCAGGTTATTGTGTGTAATGAAATTTCATTCTTTTTACTGTTGAGTAATATTCCATACTACAGATATTTACACTACAATTTATCCATTCAATGGTGAATGGATATTTGAGTTATTTCAGCTTAAAGATAATATGAATAGTGATATTAGGAACATTCAAGTACAAATCTTGGAGTGAACATATATTTTCATTTCTCTTGGACAAATACATTAAGTAGATTGTATTGGATCTTAAATATATAGGTAACTTTGTAATATGTTGTCATACTGCTTTCCAAAGTGATTCTATCATTTTGCCTTCCCATCAACAGTACATGAGTTCCACTTACTCCACACCATCCGCAATGCTTGTTAGTGTCAGTCTTTTTAATTCAGCCATTCTAGTAGGTTTTTGATGGTACATTATTAATTTGTATTTCCCTGATAATTAGTGATATTGAACATCTTCTCATGTATTAGTAGCCATTTGTGTATCTTATTCTGTGAACTGTCTTATCAAAGATTTTGCCCATTCTCTTAATAGGACAGTCTTTTTTATCATAAAGTTTGAAATGTTCTTTATATATTCTGGATGTAAGCCTTTACTAGATTATGCTTTGTAAATATTTTCTTCTAGTCTTTTGCTTACCTTTCATTTTCTTAAGTGCTTAATCACTATTTTAAACTTTTACCATCTCAGTCTAATAAATGTAACCAGTTCAATGCATGCACACAAGTCCTGCTGTGTCCCCACTATAAAAATAGTGTTAAAAACCAGTGTTAAGGGGAATAAAGGAGAGTGATGGAGAGGGTGACTTCAAGTATGTCATATTTAATATATTGTAAGAACTTTTGTAAATGCCACAATGCACCCCGAGCACAACAGTTTAAAAAAAAAACTTAAAAAAATAGTGCTAAAAACAACAACAACAAAAACTAGTGCAAGATTCCAAAAAGTCAACTCTAGAAAGCCATCACTGGGACAGCTGAAGCATCTGAATTTAGACAAACTATTACAGGATTTACTGTTAAGTTTTGTTACATATGATAACACCATGGTAATTATTCACATTTTAAAATATGCTTGTAAGTTACAGAGGTCACTGAAATATTTATGGTCAAAGCAAAAGGATGTCTAAACTTCTTTAAAATGTTTCAGAAAATATAGTAAGGGCATAGATGAAACAAGATTGGCAAAATGTTAATTGTGAAAGCTAGGTTTATAGGTATATAGTAGTTCATTTTACTGTTCTACTTGTGTGTATATTCGAAGATTTCAATAATAAGAAACTTAAAAAAATCATACTATATTTGTTTGAACCACTATGGCATGCTTACAAATTCAGTAAGCATATGAACACTTTTGAAAGACTGTGTGACTCATCAGATCTTAAGTAAAGGGGTGAGGGATGATCCCACTGTGAAAAGGAGCTTTTAAGGCCACTGCTGTTCTTGGCAGCCCCAAGTCTTGTAAGTCACAGAACCAGATTAGCATATACTACAAGGTCACCATATAAATCCAAGAGGGACATTTTGGAAATCCTAGTTTTAGGATACAAGAAATTATAACAAATATATACACAAACTACATATTTTTTTCAGGGCTGGGGAATCAAACTCAAGGCCTTAGTCATGCTAGGTAAACACTTTACCACTAAGCTATACCTCTAGCCCCTAACAAATATTGATCTCAAACAAATACCTTCAGGTCAACAAACCAGATCTTATTTCCTGGCAGATTTCATATAACCCTTCTGAAGATGGCTAATAGTGAGTATACAAAATGCCCTCAACACATGCTATGCAAGGAAAAAAGAAATTATTAGGAGTGTGACCAGATATATTTGAGATGACTTTAGTCTACATATGATGGAAAAGGTTTCATTATGTTAAAACAAGAATCTCTCTTCCCTCCCAGGACACCTGATTTCAAGTCAATTCTTCAGCATGAACTTCTAAGACCAGCCCAGGCAAAAAGTCAGATCCTATTATCATAAATACCCAACACACACACAAAAAAAGGGCTGGTGGAGTGGTTCAAGTGGTAGAACACCTGTCTAGCAAGTATGAGGCCCTGAGTTCAAGCCCCACTACTGCCCAAAATAACAAACAAACTTCAAGAAATGGAGTGTAAATGAAAACACATCCAAAGTAATGGTTGAACAATCTGCTGTGATGAGCTTGACAACTCTTCTCAGGCAGGAGGCTGGACCTCTGTCATTGCCAATGGAGCTCTTCACTGACACCTTTACTGCTCACACCCCTGCTGATGGGCAGCTCGGTTAGTGTGCACATCCTCCCTCCTCATCCCCCCATCGTCGAGAAAATCTTGTAGCTATGCGTTCCTGTCAAATCTTTTCAGGTATAAGCACTTGTGCCTCGGGACATGACACTGGGTTTAGGTCATGCTTTGGGGGGGAAAATTATTCAAATGGTAACTTCAGTATAACTTAGGGCCAAACAGAAAGGCTAACTCCTCAAATGAGTATGTTAGCTATGCAAGCATTATGTAACATGTCCTTACAGACACTTTCATTATATGCACATGTGGCACTCACACCTATGTCTACATTATTAAGCTTAATAGCTGATCCTCAGGCTTACTCCTGTGCTGTTTTTAACACTTATTTTGGGACTTCTTTATCCCATTAGGTCTCACACAGGTGGAACCTGGAAGGGTGTTATATACAAAGGTGAAGTAGTCTGCCAAAAAGCTCTGATGAAAAATTTAGCTAAAAAGTAGACATCCCAGGAGGGTCCAGTACGTGGGGCTGTGGGTGTGGTTCAGTGGTAGGACCAATGCCTAGCCTTTGTGAGGGAGGGAAGGAGGGAAGGGAAGGACCACGAATGCCAAATACAAGAGTTGCTGGGCAGTGGTGGCTTGTGCCTGTAATCCTAGCTAATTGGAAGGCTGAGATGGGAATGATCGAGGTTCAAGGGTGCCTGGGCAAATGGTTCTCATACTTTACCTCCAAAGTAACCAGAGCAAAATGCACTGAAGTTGTGGCTCAAGTGGCAGAATGCCTGTTTTGCAAGTGCAAAGCTCTAAGTTCAAAACCCTAGTCCCACCAACCAACCAACCAACCAATCAACCAAACAAAAAAAACACAACAAAAACATGAGGAGGCTTTAAAGCCTGCTGCCAGAACCCAACAAGTGTGGATGGATGTCTCTTAAAGGTCAGTAGCAAACTGAGGATCCCCCAACAAAATATACCCATTTTTTATTGTTTGCCTTTTCTAAGCAAAACATGTAGAATGCTCATGGGGATGCTGGAAGGAGATGGTGGGTAGGGAAACCCATGAATGATGGCAGGACGCTCTCCACAGACTAAACATTCAAGGAGTACAGTCTATAGTCATTCAAATCCTGCCTCCCCTCTGACCTCTCACAAAAGAAAAAAAATTCAGAAATTTCAGACAAAGTCTTTAGTCTGCAATCCATTCCACAAGTATGGTGTAAGACACCAGACTGAGCATCAAAATGTCTATACACTGGAGAGTAAGCCCTGCCACTCCATAGCTTGGCTAAATCTCTCAACTTCGATACACTTTCCTAGTGTATAGAACAAGAGAGTTAAAGCATTTTCTCATAGTCTTAATAGCTTCTTCTCTTTCTTTGCTGGTTAAAAAATTTATACTGATTTAAATTATCTTCTTAAATTTAAAACTAAATCTGAGGTAAAATCTACAATTTCATCTCATCTGAAAATGGACAGTTAGGATCCTAAATATGGCACCAACAATTCCAGGGATGGTATTTATGATATAAGTCAAAGCCTTCATTTTGTGACGAGTTGTTTCCTTGAAATTAAAGATATGGATACCTCCTCGCACTCCTTTAAATGGGTAGAAAAACGCCACAAGCAGATTCATCAGGACGGCCAGGTTAAACGAAATGCTGCTCCAGAAAGACATATTGCGGGCACACCAGTACAAGACCGGCTGGGCTGTGGAAACAGAGATGAAGCCATGTGAGGTTGGAGACCACGTGTCAGTGCACTGGAATTCAGCATGGCCCCCCTCCTGCTTGTCCCACAAGTCCACTTTTGTTCCCAGTTTTTACCACAATAGTAAAAATGATCATTTGTTAGGAAGTTGGCACATAATGACATCAGAATGGTTCATTTCTGTTTGGAGAACTCACTGAACAGAAGATGTATTTGGGGACAAGGAAGAGAAGAAGAAAAGGAAAAACGTTGCAACATCTAAAAGCCCTGCATGCCCCAGTCAACATTAGGGAATTTGAGGGTTATCCAGAGTCCATGCCCTGAGTTTCTGGTTCCCCTCAGGCCTCTGAGTGAGATGCCCAGGAGACCCAAGACTTCAATTAGCTTTTTAGAAACATCAGGGAGACAGAACATTCAGAGTTGGCCCAGCAAAGCCTGTGACTAGAACTGGTATCATTTCCATATTCCTCCCTGGTGCAAAATGCTCCACTAACTCGCTAGTGTCCCAAAGAAAAGACAACGATCCCTTTCTTATCATGGAGTCACTTGACATTTCCCTGAAGTCTGATAGTCACTTGCAGAAGTAGGGGACCAAGGAATGCAGATGGCTGACTGGTTGGTCAGCAGTGGAGTTCACATTCCCAAAGTCTCCAGGAGAAAAGGATGTGGGACCAAGCCATCACAAAAGGGGCAAGGGATACTTTGGATATCCACTGTTTGCTACAAGTGAGACCATGCTCACTGGACATGGAATGACAAGCCTGTGGTTGTGCTTGGGTGCACTGATGCCTTCTTTTTCCAAACTTTTCCAGCGTGTCTTACACTTAGGATGATGTTCAAAAACACAAGTGGAAGGAGAAATTGCAGTGGCCATGCCAGAAGTCATTTCCAAAAGACAAGTTTCTTTCAACATTATTCCCCTCCAGAGAAAAGCATGTACTATGTGAGAATGGATCTCTGTCATGTACTTTTCCCCCAGTGAAGTCATCATTTAACTTTAGGACAGCAGCCAATGACAAATCCAATGGCCCTATAATAATGCCTGTAGCAGCAGCCAAGCCTCTGGAAGCTTCCATCCAAAACAGAGTTACAGTACAATTAAACTGATCCCTGCATAATTTAAAAATCATTCATATCATGTTTGTACTTGGTAACAGGTGATGTTTCCAAATTGTAAGATGTAGAACTATGAGCAATCATCTAGTTTAAAAATATTCCATTTCATAAATGAGGAAAACTGGGGTCCAGCAATGGGCAGAAGCATCGATGATGTCATTTTCCAGGTTAGTGACCCTTTGGGGTCAGCAACAAGGATAAAGGTAAATGGCTCTTGTCACCATGCAGAAGAGCTGACAGGATCCAGTTGGCTGCCAGGAAACAATTTGTGTTTTTGTAAGTTAACTGCTGAAGTAAATTTAAGATGAGAAATCATCTGTTCTGGTTACACCAGCTACTGGGGTTACTCCTGGGATTGAAGCCCATTTCTGATCCGGAAATGAAAACTCCAGAAGAAGACAGGAGAGATGAATGGCAAAGAGTTGACAATTCCTAAAGCTAGGGGGATTACGGCACATCCATATCCACATGTGTGTCAAAAGCTTGTAATAAAAAATTGGGAAAAAATTAAAAGAGCTGTCAAAGCTCAGTGGCAGTCCACAGAAACCAGAATTCTCTGCGGAGGGAGTGCTTGAGATCAAATGTGAGTGTATCCCCTGCAGGATACTTCAGAACAACTGCAAACTGCTCTCTAACTAGGGCATAGAGCTGACAAATAAATCTTATGTTTATAAAGCTAACATCCTACTCAAATTATACTGCCATTTTGAATCTGAATAAACATTCAAGCCTTTAAATCAAGTGAGTATTTACTTGGGTGTAAGAAGATATATAGAGACTCACCTTGACATACAATGTTTATTTTCTGGGGCACATGGAACTATGTCCCATCTTCCTTTCCAGACCTTTCTCCCACTTTCCATTCCCATATACCCTGCCTCTGTTCCCATTCTAGTGGTGGTTCACACACACTCGCCATGCCCTCCAGCCTCTGTGTACTCTTGCTGTGATGATTTATAAACATGTCTACAAAGTCTTTATACTGCCCCCCTCTGAGATGTGCAGCTTAAATCCCTTCCTCTTGAGTGTGGGCTGGACCAGCAAGACAATGAAGCTGCTGGCACGAGACTTCCCAAAGTAGGTCATAAAAGGCCCAGTGGCTTCCTCCTCCCTCTCTTCAATTGTTTATCTGAGGCAAACAACCACTGTGTCATGCGGGCACTCAAGGAGAGTGAGATCCGTGTAGAGAGGAACTAAGGCACCTTGCCCACAGCCACGTGACAGCACTAAGTGGATCCCCCAACTCCAAGAAAGCATTCAGCCCTGGCCGACATCTTGGTGGCAGCATAATGAAAGACCTTGAGCCAGAACCATCCAACTAAGCTGCTCCCAAATTCCTGACCCCAAGAAACTATGAGAAAAGAAGTATTTATTGTTTTAAGCCACTAAATGTTAGGGGTAATTTGTTATGCAGTGATAGAGAGCAACTAACATCCCTTCTGTGGTAGGCAAAATTATGCCCCCTAATGTCCCCATCCTAATCCTCGGAGAATGTCAATGTTACCTTACATGGCAAAAGGGACTTACAAGTCCATATAGATGAAAGAGGGAGGCAGGAAACACAGAATCAGTAACGCAGCATGAGAAAGACTACTGGATATTGCCAGCTTGGAAGAGGGAGGAAGGGGCCATGAGCCAAAGAATGCAAGCAGCCACTAGAAAGCCGCAAAGGTTTGGAGTACTCTGTTCCTGGAATAGGAACACAGCCCTGTCAGCACCTTGATCTTACCCCAGACTTCTGACCTCCAAAACTATAAGATAATAAACTTACATTGTAATCTTCAAAGTTTATAGTAATTTGTTATTATAGCAGCAATAGGAAGTTGAATACACCTCTCTCCCATAATCTCTCAAACTGTGTTTTCCAAGTTCTACCTACTTTTGTAAGTCTTCCCATCCCACTTTCCTCTGAAGTCTTCCTTTCCCATCCTTCATGCCTGTCATTGCTTGATCACAGCCCTCATTATAATCAGCTCTGTAATGCAGCCACTTAAAAATATGCCTGTGCTACCTGCACCTTTCACATGGCAAGTTCCTGCAGGATGGAGGCATAGTGTACATACTGCTGAGTCCTCCACACCTAGCACTGTGCTTCTTACTTACTAGGAGCTACAAGTTGGCTGGATCAATGTTACTGCCAAATTACAGCAAAAAGGTAGGCTGCACGTTCCCAGATAGAGAGAACAACTTAAATAACTATTCTCAGGGCATCTCTTGATAACACTGGTTCCTAGTTGTTTGTTTTAAAGGAACTGGGCTTTGCTGTATGACTGGGGTTCTACATATACATGATGGCAGAATTCCCCAGCACTATTCCCATGAGTGTGATAACCATGAGGAAAAAAATGCAAGCAAGAAAGGATCAGCATATGAAACTCTACCTCAGTTTCCTCCCGCACTGTTTTCTAGTTTTCAAAGCCCAGTCTTCGTTTCACCAGGGCTATGATCTTCAGAATATGTCAGAGGGGAATGGTTAGGGTGGGACTGCACACAAGGTGTGCATGTGCAATGCACGTGTGCAGGTGTTGTGTAAGTAGAGCAGGGAAGAAGTTTTTTGGAGAGCAGAGCAAGTGGGTGTTTCAATTCTTGCACAAGAAAATACTAAGCACCGTCTGGTATGGCATGAGCCAAACTTCTTTCGAGTACTGGGTAGTGACTGAAGCACTGGTGATCCTGGGTGATATATTCAGAAAAAGCTAATACAGCTACATCAACAAGCCAAAAAAACTCTCCTGCAGACTTATTAGAAGAGAAGCAAGCTACTTAGATGGGAAAAATGTATTTTAACTGCACTTCTAGTGAGTACATTTCTCCTTTCCCTAAATATGCAAATCATGTTTAATTTAGTTATTATTTTCAATTTCTCTCTTAGTACAAAGCTTTGAAGCCAATTAAAATTTTCTAGTTGACAAGTACAGTTGTATTTAGGCTTCATTGAAACAAAAACTGTTTTTCAACAACAGAAGACTAAAATAGGGAGGACATTAGTTATAATGCAAGATAAATCTTAGAACAATGAGATTGCTCTTCTGGAATAAATGAATCAATCAAGTGATCTTAACCCTCCACTTTATAGGTGAAGGTCTGGGAATGGTGAAGCCACCCAGGGCCACAGAGCCAGTGTGTGGCAGAAGGAGAATGGAGCTCACCTCCCCTTCTTGGGGCTGAGGGTCCCTTATTACCACTAGGCTAGAGACACCATCTCAGAAAGAGGGTTGAGGAGATAACTTCTTTACCAGAAAAGATGAAAACCTTTTTGTTGGTACATCAACTTCTTGGAGAGCCTATAAAAAATATATTATATATGAATTTGATAACACAGTTCTGAGACAAGGAATCTATCTGACTGATACATATACCAGATTAAGGGTAAAATTACAGTTAATTAATAGGGTATAGACACATGAATTCAGGATTACCCCTTAAACTGCAATTATGGACTATCCCAGGGGTAGATAAAAGCAACCAGTATTTATAAGAATAGGAAATATGAGTACACAGTTGGTGGGATCTATGTGTACCTTATTTTAGGAGGAGGATCTGGGCATGGTGCTGTGTAGAAGTTCACAATGAACGCGGAAGAGTTTCTGAGGAATCTATAGTCGACTGTTAGGCTGCACTGATGCTGCACCCTATGTCTTCTGAGGTTTGTACAATAAGAAGGCTGTGCATGCTGGCCTGCTGAAGTTCCCCCGTCCCATTGGGAAGGTGTGAGACATGGATCAGCAAGACATTTTAGAATGCTTTAAAGATGTCCCTTATACCTGAGCAAGAATGGTAGAACAGGGCCTTCTGGCCAATCTGCTTGCACAACTGTCTCTGCCACTTATGAATCTAGGGATGCTAGGAGACAAGGAGAAAAGAAAAGATCAAGAAATCCTGCCAAGGGATGCAGGTCTGGTCCTGCTCAGCTTGGCAGGGATCAGGGAGAGGACAAGAGCTCCCAGAAACTGACTTCCAACACTGCTCTCTCCCCATCCCAGCTGCACCCCACAGAAAGAGCTCCCCCCCAAAAATTCACTGTAACCAGACTCCAGGGTTTCAAATTAAAAAAACAAACAAACAAAAACCAAAACTCAGTTCCCAACTAACACAGAAATAAAGCATGATCTTTTTAAGTTGGTCCCAACAGCTGGTGCCAAGCGTAGTTTGTACAAAAGAATCACATTAAAACCCTAATGAAAACCAGGAGCAGAGAAGCCCTCTGGGGAAGCCCTATAAATGTGTCTTAGACAAGTAATTTCAACCTGACTTGGCCAAGCTTCTCAACGGGACTTGCTAGTGAGCAATGACCCATCTTATATGGCAAATGATTCCACCGCCCGTAAAATGATTTAGTCTCAAGTTCAAGCTACTCTGTAAGAGGGAAACCACCAGAGTCTCTGGAGCAGGTGTGCTAATAAATGAGCAATCATGCTGTCTGCATTTCTGACCCAAGCGAACCATCCTGTGAGCTCAAAGGCCTGGCTTTTCCCCTTTGCTTTTTACTTTCAACACTGAAATACCAAAATGGGCATTCACGTCATCCACAGAGCTCCCACTCAAATCAAGTCAAATGCAGCAGGAAGACAGCCTTTTCAGAGAAGTTGCCACCCTCAGACTGGGGACCATCCATCAGAGACCAAAGTTCCTCTGACTTCCTGGTGGTCAGAGGCAGAAAGCCCACAAATTACACTTGCATTGCTTCTGTTGGGGAATCAATGCACCACCAAGGCCAAGTTTGTGAAACCTCAGAACTGCACCTTTCTGTGGGGTTGTCAAAGCACGGTGACCTACCTCGCAATTTCTTCTGCCAATTCATTTCATTGAAGAGGTCTTCGGAGCGCAGGAAGAAGTCGTTGATTTTGCTGCCTTGTTCATCCCTCTCTGTAGTGTAGTATATTCGCAGCTTGGACTCCTTTGTTAGGAACTCACATATGCTGGGCACTGGGAAGACGATCTGCTCCATTGTTCGGTCTAATCTGACAATCTGTGTTGAAAAGAAAATATATGAGATTAAAAAGTCGTCTTCAAATCCTCTTACAAAAAAGATCTTCGCCACTAGCATTGGACTCAGGGTTCTAGACTCAGAATACAAACTTCTCTGACTTTATAACCCCAGACTGGGCTGTGTGTTTCTTAGATTTATATAAAAAAAAATAGTTTTGGTTACATCTACAAGAGTATTTTTCTAATCTCAGACCCTATCCATTTCAATGTGACCAGCTTTTGTCTTGAACAATATACTCTGTGTTTTGTGTACATATTCAGCTGAGGCTGGTTCTGTCCAACAGAACTTTCTGCAATGATGGGACAGTTCTGTATCTACACTGTCCAAGGGACAGCTACTTGTCACAGGAGGCCATTGATCATCAGCACATGTGGTTAATACAATGGAGGAACAGAATATTTACTTTTATTGTAAATTTTCATTTAAACGGCTACACATTGCGAATGGCAGTGCCAGGCCATGGTTGTAAACCTCACCCCAGAGCCTTTCTCAGATATCAAGATTGAGTTATTTTTCCTGATAGAAAATTCACGAGAAGGTCTTTGATTTATATCCAGTTTCAATGACTTCTTACTTCTTGTCACAGCGTCCAAAATATATGTCAGCTAATATGCCCGTGAACTCTGGGGTGCCTGTATTGTTTCTTAAGGTAGCTTTGTTGGGCCCCAGGAGTGGACACCTTGCAGGGTTTCCTCCATCCCCTTCCTATAATAGTTCAATCCTCAGAGAGAAGGTAGTCTGGTCTGGATTGTTCAATTCTAGGACACTACACTGAGTCATAGTCCTGGGGGTAGAGATTTCTAATAGCACAACAGAAGCTTGGCCTCTCTTTATTCCTTCTCCCCAGAGGCTGGAGAAGTCAGGTGAGGCCCAGGGCGGAGGCACTCAACAGGAAGAGCTTGTTCTTGTTCTCTCAATATCTTTGTTCCCTGATGGAGCAAGAGAGGTGACTCAGGCCACGCTGTGGTGGGAAACTCTAGCAGAGGTGAGACAGGTTCTCACAGGCCTGGCTCTGGAAGTTCTGAGGGACATGGTGTCTAGACCAGCAGTTCCCAAATCAAATTGGAGCTCAAGTTCCGGGAGGCTTTGTTGTCAGACTGACTCTGGTTCATAGCTCTACCTCGTTTAACTGGAACTGTGGTGTAGGGGTTAGTGATTAGAACCTGGCCATGACCCAGCTCCCCAGGTGACCTTGGTATACACACAGGTGAGAGACGAACTCTGCATCTTCTGCTGTCAAGAGCCTGAATCAGTCCTAACTAGTCCTTCCTTTCCCCATAGAACGGAATCAGAGACGTGCAGCTTGGCTCAGCACAGAAAGGAGAGAAGGAGGCCTTTTGGTAAGAACTGAGTTCCAGATCCCAGGGCTCCCCTGGACACTGGGGTCTGTGAAGAAAAGCCAGGGAAGAACAAAGTGTTCCCAGCTTTGCATAGCTAGCCCATCAGGGAAACGTGGAGTGAGGGATGGGTGCTGGCCTGTGGTGGACTGGGGGGGGAGGGGTCAGAGACACACCTTTTTTTTTTTTTTTTAAAGTGAGAACACTTGCCAGACCTTCTCTACCTCTACCAGGCTGGTTGTTCACAACTTTTAACATAGCCAAGCTTCTGTCTTCTCCCCAGGGAGCCAAGGAGCTCAATGAGATGATCTCCAAGGTTCCATTTTCCTGTGACTTTCTTTACTGCAAATACCCGAAGTCTGTCGTTTAAAGGACAGATTCAGCCCTATGGCCTAGAGTCTGGCCACTAATGACAGATCAACAGTATGTGTCACATACACTGGCCTGGCTGACTGGTTGGTGCAATGATGCATTTCCTTAGGAAAGCCTGGAGACCCGAGGTATCATGTTCAAACAGACTTGTGAAAAGTTTCCATCCTAAATGGGTTATATTGTCCAACAAAGTTTGTTAGTCCCTTCAAACATTTTTCCAACACTGAGATTGATCTTGTGCATTTCCTCCATAGCCAAACATAGCACATCCCTTTCTGCATAGGGCCTGGAGACAGAAGACTGTTCTCTCAGATGCTAAGAGACAATGCAGGTGACATAAGTGCACCTCAAGCTCATCAGTCTGAAGGATTAGGATTAAAATTCCAGCTACACCACTGCACGCTACACAAGTGACATATCCTCTCTGAACTTTACTGCAGAGCTGCTCCATTTGCAAAAGAGAGGTGATACGTGGAACTTTCCAGAGGATGAGCAAGACTTTTGTTTTGTTGTTTAAAATGCAGGTCAGACCTGGTGCTCCCCTGGGTGAAAGTCTCCAGCAGTTCCCTCCTTGCTCTGAGGATAAGGTCCAGACTTCTGAGGATGGAGCAGGAACTCTCCAGCTTTGGCCTGCCTGCTCTCCTTCGCAATCTTGTCCTATTTCCCTCTGGCTTGCTGAACTCCAGCCACATGGCCGCTCCTCTAGCTCTACCCTTTACCTAGAATCTTCCTTCCCCAGGCTGGAAGAGCTCCTCCCTCTGGGCTCTGCCAGTTTCATTCCTGTGTTCTTTACATTTGTAGTTAGATGCCATTTCTTCAGAACAGGCCTCCTGGGCCACCACAATCTACAGGAGGTCCCTCTGCTGGACTTTCTTATAATGCCATCTGCTTGTTCCTGTAGGCTAGCCAGAGTTTACAATGAATGGAATTTATTTTTGTCCTTTTCTTCCCTCCAGACCTCAAGCATCAACCATGACTGCCTGGGTCATCACTGGATGTTCAGCACCTTGTGCAAAATTAAGTGCACACAATTACTTCTATTGTTCAGACGAATGAATGCATGTCAGCCCCGGCACAGGGCATTACCCACTAACGGCTTCAACACTAAAGGCCTGAGCCCTGAAGCCTCAGCTCTCCCAAGCCCTGGGCTGACTCTGCTTTTACCTCGATCTGTGCTGTGTGCTTGGCATAGAACTCCAGAGCCTCATCTCCATCCACTTGGCCGCCAGGTTTCAGCATGGTCTGAAGTTCTTTGTTATGTCGAGCCAACTAGAACATGAGTACAGAAATACAGGGGTCAATGTCTCTTTATAACTGGAATAAATGAGCTCCTTTCTAACTTTGAGTTTTAAAAAAATGCATAATGCCCAGCAGCAAGTACCAGGGCAAAGGTGCCAAGAGGCTTGTTCCTTTCCCTCCAGGTGTGCTTTGCACAGTGGCTATTTTTGGAATTTAGCATAAAAGCATGGAGAAAACTCATGCCCATGCAAGGTCCAACTTTTCCCTAATTTCTTTAGCCACACACAAGGGGTTTGGAAAACCCCACCGTGGAGCGTCCACCTCCACTCAGAATGTTCAGAAGCCCTCTTGGAGGCTAGATGCTGGTCAAAGGGGAGATGCAGACCAGGTGAGCTTCTGAAATCCTTCAGCCAGTACATGGGGGCAGGGACCTATGCTGTCACTGGTTTATATGCAATTTAGAAGGGGATGAAAGGGACCAGAAACACAAGCCTTCGGGTGGGCTATAGCCTGCCTCCACCTGAAAGCTCAAGGCACAGCAGTATCCAAAAACAGGAAGCAATTTCCCAAACCAAAGCAACTTGGGAAGAGAATTATGAAATATGACATTTTGGTGCCAGAACATAAAGTATCACCATATCCCCGAGAAAGGCAAACAAAAGGAAGTCATAAGGACAGGTTCCCACAGATTTCCAAATGCGATAGGCAAGGAAACTGAAGTTTATTTCTTTAGGTTGTTAAGAGAGACTCATTTGTATTTATAAAAAGTCTAAGACTCCTTTCAAATGGCTCCAGACAAAGTCATAAACCATTCAAGTGTCACTGCTCAGGAGGGGATGCCTGTAAGAAGCTTGGGGATTTCCATGCGCCTGACCCTACCACAGAGGAAAAATGGCAATGTCCTGGAACTGAGCACCTTGGGTCAGGTCGCCAAGTGCACTTGCAAGCCACAATCTCTTGAGAATAAATGCCCTAGATTAAAGCCTTCCAGGAAAAGCCAGTTTGAAGGCACCTCCAGCTTGGAACAAGGGCCCTCTACATGGTGGTGTCTGGAGGGGCACAGCAGAGCCATACCTGGTGGGCAAGTATGTAGATATTGTGCCCCACGTTCCTGGGGGAGGCAGCTCCATCCTCACCATTTTCTCCATCCTCAAATTCCACTTCGCCTTGCATATAGGCTTTCTTGATCACTTCCACCTGCAAGAAGGGCCAAGCAAACACATCTCCTGGATCAGGAGAGACTCACAGAAAATGAGTATCCATGGCACCAGGAGTCAGGCCCCCCCACCTGGGGAAAACACCGCTCAGCACCCATTCTAGCTGACTTAGACACAGCCTTAGAGTCCTTCCTAACACCCTCACAAGCAGGCAACACAACCAACCTCCACCGACATGAGAAAGAAAACTCATTCATTTCACATAGACCAAGAGCCATTCAGTGGCTGGTTCAAGCCCTCCTACTTTACAAGAGGACAGTGACTATACAAGCACTCTGAAAGGATAAAGTGGGATACAAGCATGAGCATCTGGAAGCCAGACTCTCCCTATCGCCACATTTCCTCTCTAATCCCAAGTCTTTCCCTTTCAGAAAAAAGTAGTAAGAAAGCCATGAGCTTTTGGGAATAGCTAGTGAAACTACTTTTTGATTCAGATTTTCCCTGTCCTTCAAAACTGACTCCATGAGAAGATACTAGCAGAACCAGCAGCATCTCCTGGGTGCTCATTCTGTGCCAAGCACTTGGCTTAGTATTCTAAAATTCTTTTTAAAAATTTAATGCTCACAAACTTTTTATGTGGTATCGGAGATTCCCACTTTGTTATGGATGAGGAAACAGACTCAGAGAGTTAAAAGAACCTTGCTAAAGTCACAGTTAATGAGCTGGGATTTGAACTTGGCCATTACCCTTCACAGCTGCACAGCTTGTCCCTCTGAGGACTCATCTCATGCTCTGAGCACACTTCTTAGAGCATTTCTATTCCCACTCACCTCAGCTCCTGGAGAGCAGGGGCCAGGGCTGCCCATATCTAAACCCCTCCCCTAGGGCCCAGCACAATGCACAATGCACTGGATGAAGGAGAGCCTGGCCAGGCTTTACAGAGTGAACATATCATGCACAATTTAATCATTCAAAGATTAAGAATAAATACTTTCACTCCCTAAGTTGTACTAAAAATTAATCATTTTCTTTGATGATTCAGAAGGTGTTTTAACCTCCTGCACTGCTACAAGGAACTAGATCTCATTATCCAAGATCAGGCATGCAGAGAACCACATATTTCTGTACTGATACCGGCTCAGCTGCTGACTGTAACTTTGGAGGTTAAGAGCCTCCTCCTCTGAGTTTGTTTTCCTGCCAGTTCTCTTGAATACCAAGTCAAACAGACAACATATTGCCTAGGGTATGCAGGCCAGAATACAGGCATATATGCATGCACACACCTGTGCACACATGCACAATCTGGATATTCAAGCTTCCCTGCTACTTAAGATTCTTAGAACTCTATTCATCCCAGGAAGCCTTTGACTCTTCCCATGATGAAGAATAATATTCTCCAACCACAAGAGGGCAATCCAGGAGCCAGGGGCAATCACAGCATGGGGTGCTAGCATTTCCCCCACTTAATATAGTCCAGAAGATCTGGGGCACATACTTGATTCATGGGAACTGGAGAGGGGTCTTTGCAAGGTCATTCAGATCCTACTCAAGAGTGACGAACCCTAAACTCCAGTCACTCCCAGTTACATAAGAGGTTATGCAAACTGTAGAGGACTCCATCTCAGGCTGAGTACTCACTCCCTGACCTCAGAGATCAAAGGACTGGGCTGCTGTGAACTTTATTTAAAGCCACACATAAAGGGACTTTGGCCTGGTCTCCAGCACACAATCAGGTCACCAGGAGGTAGAAGTGTTTTAATGCCCTCATTTAAGTCTGTCAGTTACAGTTTATTTGCATGGTGGAAAAGTCCAAATAGAGAGTTCTGCCCTGACTGAACTTGTGTCACTGTCTCTCAACACTGCTTGCCTCACAGTTTGCAGCACTGACTCCCAATCTGGAAGTCACAGCCCTTTGTGAATATCACCCCTCAAAAATAAAGCACAACATGTTTTCTTTAAAGAAAACAAAAAAATAACACCAGCATGCACAATACAGTCATCTGTTGTCCGGACCACCGGTATCGAGAACAGATGTGAACTTCTCAGCTCTGGACAAAGCTATGGCAAAAGGATCAGCAACGAATGGGAGCCTCAGTTCTCGAAGGACTTCTCACACGCCAGGCACTAAGCTGAGGACTTATCTTCCCATGTAGATTTTAAAACAACCCTTCCATGTAAATAACATCATTATTTTTTGGAATCAAAAAAATATGGTTCAGAGAGGTCAAATAGCTGCCCCAGGTGACACAGCAAAAAGAGCAGAGACTTGAACTCAGGCCTGCTGGGTTCCTTGACCATGCCCTGAACACTGTACAAAATGAGAGCGAAAGAGGAAAGAGGCTTCTGTATGCTGAGAGGGCAAAGCACTGTGTTTCTCTACTCAGCTAGAGGCCTGGATTAAGTGCTTTTTTTACACTTCTAGTTCAGGGAATCTGTCGGAAAGCTCCAGGAGGCAGATCCTCCACTCTGTCTCAGATGTGGTTCTGGAGTTCTTTGGTGCCATGGCCCCAGCACTGACCACCCAACTCACCAGTTCCTTAGGCCTCATGTTGTAAAGAATCCTCTCCGCATTTTCACTGTCATGTCTGCTTTCCATTATAGCCAGGAGAAGCTTTGAAGCATTGTTCTAATTGGAGAGAACAAGGGGAGGAATGTGGGGGAGCTGCTTGAGCAGCTGGCCTGGATGCACATGCCCCCAACACAGGTGAACATCCCAGCCAGACAGGCAGGCGCTCCACCCCCTGGAGCATCTGCACCAGGCAAAGAAGGTGCCACTTTGGAGTCTGGAAACATGAGTTCAGAATCTGACATGGGTCAAACAGGCACATGTTTTTAGGGCATACTGTTATGCCCTAATGTGAGCTGGTAATACAAGCCCTAGCAGAAACAGAAAATTCAAACACGGATCCTGTGGATACAGTCCTCCCTCAGGCTCCACAGGTGATTGGGTCCAGGACCCATGAGGAACCAAAATCCACAGATGCTTGAGTCTTGTATAAAATGACAGTGTACTTGCAAATAACCCGTGTATATCCTTCATCTATTTCATCTCTAGATTCCTTCTAATGCCTCATACAATGGAAGTTGTAAATAGTTATTAGGCTGTATTGTTTACAGAATAATGATAAAAGAAAAAAGCTCACATTCAGTCCAGATGCAATATTTCTTTCTGAATACTGTCGATCCAGAGGTTGGCTAAATCCTCAGATACTGAACCTGTGGGTACAGAGCCTCACTGGAAGTTGTCACTCTCACGCTGATAATGGTCAGGAAGAAATTGCTATATGTAAACTCATGTTACCTTCACGTTTCTGTGGTTTGAAGTGGCACATTCTCTACCTGAGTGGTGTGCTCACAGACATTGTTATTTGGTCTTGTGGGACAAAGACAACGGTAATAAAGATAAGTCCTGCCTGTCTTAAAAATCTTTCTATCAGCTCTGGTAACGTCTAACATTCTGAGCACAGCTGACACTAGTTAACAAAAGTGACCCAAAGGAACACTGCCTGCCTGCCAAGCCATAATTTCCCATTACATTACAAATGTCCGTGTGTCCACACCCGGCACTTCTTGGCTTGACCTCATTTGAGGCCCTGGGTCTATCATTTGCATGCATCTTTGTTCTTGTTTTTTTCCTTTTGGAGAGTGGGGGTGGAAGATAAGGTTCTCTTTCTCCCCAAGTTTGGTCATAGCAGTTCAGTTGCTATACTATAACAGGACAGAAATTTCTGTCATAATCCTCAGATTGCTGGAGTCATTGGAAAAGTCACTGAAATGTCAACCAGGAGCACATGAACATCTCAGTCTATTTCAGAAGCCCATCATGTACTTTCTGACAAATGGTAGCTAGGTTCATGAGTTTGAATGGTCTTCAAGTCAAATTTAAAACATTTGGCAGAAGGAGCTAAAAGCGGCCCCCCCAAATCCATTCAAACTACACGCACACAAATCAGCTATTAGTATGGATTTTCTAAATACTAAAGGAAAAATAAAAATAACTATGCCATTCCTCTGGGCTTCTCTGTTAACACCTTTTCAAAGGCCTTTCTTTCTCATGACACCCTTCATGTAAGCTATGCAGAATAGCACTTTGGCTGACCCCGGCAGTTCTAGGTTGTTTCACAGTAACTGTAAAGTGCTTGCTGCTGTGTACGGGTGTAGGAGAGAAGACAGAGCTCAACATGCCCCAACGTGTGAACAGCTAAAGAGGAAATAAGCTCAGTGACGCTAACACGTTTTCAAACATACTTTAGACAGGGTGGGTTGCAAGTTCAGTTCTCAGAACTGAAGCTTTGGATTCTTTGAGGGCTCTGGGGACATACTTAGGCAATTACCATCAAGAATGGTCTTTGAGTTTCTCAGGCACCCAAGAGGCTGGCTTGTAAACCCCACAGCTTAAGTATCTTGAAGTTACTACTTTTACTCCATAAAACTATTTTAGTATTTATACAGGTTCAAAAGCCAGGCTGCTTCAAAATCAGTCACCTGACATCCGCTACTTGCAACAATTCACAGAAACTCATCAGACGCCGGTAGGCACATCCTTGGTAAGTAACTGTTCTTATTTTAAACCTAAATCATCACTCCCCCCCACCCTGTCTGCTAAATCAATGACAGGACAGAAAAAAAATGTGTCTCCTGATTAAGTAAAAACAGATTTTTGAGCTCTAGATAGGCTACACTGTCTTCAACTGGTCCATTTTCCTCAAAAGAGGAAAAACTCAGAGACCATAGAGGGAATGGCATTCCCATTGTCTGTCTGTTTTCTGCATTGAGGTTGTTGGTTCTTGGACACTGACTGAGTTTGCTTCTCAGCTCTAAGTGACAAATATTCACTCTATGTGACCTAACAGTTGAAGAGTTGGTACCTTGTCCCAAGGTTCTTCTTTGGAAAGACTGAAGTTCTGCATTTTAGTCACAATGTACAACTTGGGATCGTTCATTTATTTTAATGAACTGCCTCTCATATTTTGTTTCACAATACTGACTGTTTCACATGCCAAGGCAAAACATAAAAGTCACTGCTCTCAAACTCAACTGCCTCTTGCTTTCAGTCCTACTTGCCTTCAGTTCTAACACCAGGTCCATCCGCTTCTTCCCCAGAGGGTTGATGTCATTGAGGATCAAGGCTGTGATGATGTCGATGCCATTGGACTCGTGGGTGGCTATGCAGTTCTGAGCAAACAGACACACAGACATTTACACAAATGCTGGCATAAATCAGACGTCAAAGGCCAACAGGCGGAACTGCTATTTCAACACAATGCTCACCAGTCCCAGTAATGTCTCTAGGGGAGAGCTGCAATTTTCCGTGAGAAAGTGGTAAAAATAAAAGACAGATGAGAATCTCTAGTTTCAGAATTAACAGTAAACAGTAGGAAAGTCCCCATACACACCAACTGATAGATTGGTTGCGTCTAATCCAAATAGTGCAGTGAAGTTGGCTTTTGTTCTTAAAGGAAAATATGGTGTATGACTGATACCAGGATCTGAGCCCTTTTTCCCCTTTAAAAGTGTGTTCCATTCTCTCTACATGACTTGTTTTGCGCATTTCATACTTTTGCTTAAGGCCTAAACTTGGAAAACAAGCTTCTGGTTTAATTTACACAATAGTAAAATTAATCATCCTCCTCCAGGTAAGATCCCCATTTGTGCACAATCCACTCTGGTCTGTTGCTTTCAACAGGACTATTTTTTTGGCAGGAAAGCAAACTTGAGGTTATAAGGACATTTGCTGAGGTATCAACAAAGCCTTTTCTCCAAACCTGTTGCCTTTCTGTGCTCCTTTTCACTGTTACCAGCACTATGCCATCAGAAGAGGAAAGAGGGGTTGTCCTCACATTCAGACAACCAAGACCAGGGTGTTCATAAACAGAGAGTTATTGCCCATAAATTGCTCTCCTCTGAGTGAAGGTCAAGACTTCTCCCAAGTAACTCAGCATCTCATACCTTCCCTAGTCATCTTAAGCCTTGTCCTATACTCTCCAGCCAGGAAGATGCTATACTTTGGAATTAAAAAATCATTCTCATCCTAGCACTGAGGCCAAAACTCATAAAATCTTCAAGATGCCACGTATGAGCAAAGACTACTCAAGAATCAAAGTATTGGGCTTCATTCTAAAACTATACTTCTTGGGAGGTCAAAGTCAAGACAACTGGTCTTTCCTTTCCCTAGAAGTCCATGGTGTTAAAAATCTCAAATACAAATGTTTTTGTCTTATTTTCAGGCTTTCTAATGTGAAGCAAGGTTTTTCTCTCTAGCTAGTTTTAAAACTCATTCAAATAGCCACTTTTCCATCTTTCCTAGTATTTAAAATAGATCATTGTCTTCAGATGATAATTTAACTTCCATTTCATTACCTACCCTAAAAGCCAAGTTATAGTTAGATATTCAAAATAGATCAAATCAAACCAAGCCAAGCAGGGACAACCTCTCTAACGTGTATCACTGGGTAAAGTTCTAACATTTGATAATTACCACAGAGCCTTCTCCACTATTGGGAAAAGGCCTCCCATCTACATATTTGCCAGGCCAATAGGAAGATACAATATGACTTCCAAACTAGTCTGTGTCAACATTTCTAAATGATCAATACCTCCCACACCCATCACAAAATGTAACGGGAATTACCTGGTTCTCATGGCAAGGTCCTTGGCAGTATTCGGTCAGACTTTCCAGGGTTTGGTTGATAAGTGCTACATTCTTTTCATTTATATACAGTCCAAGAAGACCAAGGCCCCCAGTTGTGCTTCCACAGATACAGTCCAGAAACTGCAGTGTCTCACACACCAAATTATAGTTGGTCTTGTTATTTTGGCAACGAAGAAAGTTCTGCAGTTAGGTAGTCCCAGGGTTGAGGGAGCAAAGGCAGAAAGGAAAAGAGAAAGGTCATTCATGCTGTCACCTTGATAGTCTCTAGCAGGTTGTTGTGCTGGGCTAACCAGATGCAGCGTGGGGCAGGAGTTTCCATGGTCCCAGTAAGGGTCAATAGCTTAATCTGTGACTGTTAACAGTGTGACTTGCTCTCCAAGGTGCCTACAAAGGATGCAGGTGGGGAAGGCGCCTCTTAGGAGCCCACCACAGATGCTTTCAGTCCTTTTTGAATTCTCTTTTTCCACTTACTTCCAACCTTCTCATCAGGTGTTCTGAAACATCTGGTATTTTAAATGGTAGTGCTTATGTTTAAAAGGTGGTGGTGTGGTCTGGGTGCTGAATACCTAGAGTTAGTACTAGGGCCAGTTCACCACAGAATGCGGTATCAGAGGCTGCCTTACGTCCACTGCCATGGAGGTAACCTGGATTATTTTATTTGGTCATTTACATTATGAAAGGCAGGGATGAGAAGGAATAAATGTGTGTGGTTGTACGCATGTGCCAGTGTACTTATTCTCCAGGTGAAATGGTAATGTTAGCAAGAGATACAGTGCAAGACACTTCCTCAACAAGTTAAGGAGAACAACATTCAACCTCCTCAAAAAGCATAGGACACACACACACACACACACACACACACAAAAGCAGAAGACTTTGACAGAGAGGCACTTATTGTCAGAGACTCTAGTAATCTGTTTTCAAATAACTACAATATTCTTTATCTATAGTTATAAAAGTGACACATTTACTACACAAAAAGATATAACCAAAAGATAAACTGTACATAATCTTTGACAAAGCAATTCTACTTCTATGAAATAATAATTTCTTCTCACAAAGTAAAGAATGGGCTGTTAAAAACCCTTGTTCCTTCCTATTATGGCTTATACTCTCTCTAAAACAAAATTAGAGATAAGGGCAAAATAGTTTCTGCTGGGTATTGAGGGGGTGGGGGGGAGAGGGAGGGGACGGAGTAGGTGGTAAGGGAGGGGGTGGGGGCAGGGGGGAGAAATGACCCAAGCCTTGTATGCACATATGAATAATAAAATTAAAAAAAAAAAAGAAAGATATACTGCCTACCAAAAAAAAAAAAAAAAAAGAATGGGCTGTTTACTACAGCACTGTTTTTAACAGTGAAGAATGAGAACAACCTAAATGTCCATCAACTGGGGAGTAGCTAAAAATGTATAATATACCATTTCATATAATAAATTAGAAACACTGAGTAGATCCCTATGTGCCAATGTGGAAAGATCTCTGGGGCATAATGTTAGGTTAAAAAAAAAGGTAAATAGATTAAAATGTGATACAAATTGACAAAATTTTATGAAATGTTCCCACTCAAATATATAGGGAAAAGATTGGAATAGTTCTCTACGGACAGAAGAGAGGCAACTCTTAACTTCTTATTTTCATTTGAACCTCTATGTAAGAAATATATTCACATATTCCTTGCATAATGAAAGGATTTGTGAAAGCACAGATTAAAAGCTGGTAACCAGGCTTAATACTGACTCATCCCCAAGCTAACTTCCCCAACTTAACCTAAGTCCCTTTCATTCAGTAAAAGTCGTTCAGATCCAGCTGGAAGGCAGGAGAGGCCAAATGACTTGGGACTGTGTGCGTTTTCCTCAGGTGATTACTTGTCTCATGTCATAGGAAGCTGAGAGGGTTTCACAGTCTTCAGCCGGAGGAAAGATGCTACTGAGATGGACAAGGCTCAGGGCACCTTTGAGGGCTCATTGCCCAAGACACATGAACACAGCATGGCTCGCAAGGCCCATCTCCTTTCAAGTTCCAATCACTGCTCCTACCACACCCTTCTGTGCTCAGTTATAACAACATTCCTACCATGTCATCTCTGCTTGGTGAGGACACTGCTCTAATACCATGCCCTTCTCTTCCTACTCCTCAAACATGCTCCATTCTCTTGCTGCTGGGCCTTCTGCTATATGATTCCCTCTGTCTGCCCATCTCTCCTAGCCTTCACTCTCACTCTGCTGTGGTCTCTTCTTCCAGGAAGCAACATCCCCTGCTGCCCCGTTCTCATGAGATGGGAGCCCCCACAGGTCACCTCTCTGCTCTCCACATAATTGGTGATACACCTCTAGACATGCTTATCAGCTCCTGATTGGTCCACACTGACAACCCTTGGTACCTGGCAGCTTGCACAGGGCTGGTGACTACACCGAAATAATCCAAGTTAAAATGAATGGATGGAGGAAAGGGAAGCGGGGATGTCACCAGGCCACCTGTTTCAAACTTTGAGTATTAGCTAGTTCCATTTCACATGGTTTTTGTCTAGCCAGGACCTCCCCTGCCCTCACTTAGACCCATTTCCTCTTGTCTTCTACAAAAACAGCCAGAGCTGTCCTCACAGAGGCACAGGGGAGCTCTTTTGATTCACTAATTAGCATACACCACCCAGCCTTGCCTGGGCAGGAGAAATCCTGCTCATTTCTGTGTTCTTTTTGGGAGGGTGAGGATTAGGAGGAGGGTGGGTGAAGCAAGTGAAGGACTTCACTGTGCTTACCCAGACACTGAATCCATTAACCCTGGGGAAGCACAGCCAGCGGCTTTGGCTCGGAGATGGTTTGAAACCACACACAAACTGGTTCAAGAGTAGACCTTCCCATCAAATTTCTGACTAAGCAAGGCTTGCTTAAGATAGTGACGGCCCGTTTGGCAAAGTCACACTCAGTGGCTTTCTCTCTACTGAACATTTACCAACAGGAAAGTTAAGGTTATAAATATGACAAGAAACTGGCACGAGCTCAGAGACTGCTGCTTCATTGAGAAGGTCGGCTCCCCATCTCCTGGAGCTGATCTGCACTTTGCCTGCTCCTCTCTGAGATCCATGAGGAAACCCCAACCCTGGGAGCCACCACCAGTACTGGAACTATGCCAACAGGGTGGCATTCAGAGTCACTGAATCTCACTTAAATCATCCAATATAATTTTACTGGAGCAAGTCATCATCTGAGATAGCCTAATTTTGTGGGAGTTTTTAAAGATGATTCTAATTTGTGAACCACTGATCCAGAGCTGTGCTTTCCCTCTGGGCCCTGCAGAAACCTGGATGGTTCCCTGGGATGCCCCCCACCTTCCAGGGCTCCTGTGGATGGTGGTGGGGGAGGCAAACTCTGGCACTCTCGTTGCTACTCTGAAAGAGCGGCTTTGTTCTCATCGTTTAACTTAGTACATTTCTGCAGAAGATGTTCTTCAAACAAAGGTTTCTGTGACACCCCCCCACCCCAGCACTGCTTCCCACAGAGCAGTTTTGGAAGGGCTTCGTTTAAAAGCTGCCCATGAGGTTCCCAGGGCATTAATATGAAGAAGAGTTTTGGGACAAGCTAAGATACAAAACTACAATTCTGAAGACTTCCAAACTAGAAATGATGAACTTGTAATGATTACAATCTGACTCTCCCCCCACAGTGAAGGAAAGCGGGTGTACCTGGGAAAGAGGGAGGGGGAAAGGGAGAAAGAAGGCAGGCCCCTAAAAGCAGAACCCAGAGAGGACAATCCCACTCAGCACTAGCACATTAGCGCTGCCCCTCTGATGTGCGGGAGAGCTCTCCTCAAGGCAGCTTTGGTTAGCTTGGAACTCAGAAGTTATCAGCCTCCCTGGGCCCCTTACACAAATGGTTCCCTACCTCTAATCCCACCAAGCTCTTACAATGATCTGGTCACAGCATTTTCTTAGAACATTGCATTCCAATCTTTGGTTGCCTCAAGTGACTCCTGCCCTGGACATTTATCTCTGAGGGATGAGTGAGGTCCTGTCACCACCAGCACAGGCGTGGCCTCCACCTGCTTTCCCTGTGTAACCCAAGGTTGGTGGAGACCAGTGACACCATGCAAGGGAACAGTCTAGGGCTCAGCCTAGGAAAAGCCCCAGCAGCAGAGTGGTACCCCCTACCCACAAAGATGCCACAAGTGACTAAGCTGTTGGGCATGGGTCACAGGGGTGTGTGTGTGTCACTCAGTTCCTCTTAGCGGATATCTCTCATGACTAATGATGTAGCTTAAAGGAAGACGGGCAGATGCCATCAGGTACACAGTCATCTTAAGGCATAGCGACACTAGCTAATAAGATAATAACCAGACCCTGAAATTTCAGGGCACAAGTGCTTTGCTCCACTTGACTCTGCCGAGCTGTCCCAGTCAGTGGGGCCTGTGGTGTTCTCAGCCTGAAACAGAAAAGCTCCGGCAATTGACAAGAAAAAGTGACAGCCAGAATCCTGCACTCAGATCATGATGGGGTCAAGCAGGGAATGTCAATGGCTAAAACGGACAGGTAGCAAAGTAAAACAAGGGCCCTACCCTGTCTAGAGGGCATTGCTGCTGCTGCCCCACACACACCATGTGGCACTGTGGGTCCAACTTGGCCATTAGCAGGGCTCATGAGAAATTTTTTCATTTTAAGATATGGGTCAGATTGGGCTACTTGATGACCTTAGATGTTTCTTTCAAAGTTCAGGCCAATTAAAAATAAAAACAACCAGAAAAGGTATTAATATTGCAGTCACCTATTCTAGATCCCTTCCTTCCTGAGGGAGCTTTCATTCTTTCACTTAATAAACTTTCTGACTTTCACACTCAAAAAAAAAGCAGCTTTTTCCTGGCACCATTTCATTGTTCTGCCTTACTGTTCGACAATGTCATTTTTTACTCAGCTGATCCACATGCAGATTCTGTGGCAGGTTTTAAATGATGATGACTGTCTGTGGTAACACCAAATAGTCTAGCCAGTCAATGGCATTTGAATTCATGAAACTAGCACTGCTGACTTGTTTATCTTAGAAGGAAACACTCCATCGTAGAGGAGATATTTGATGTGCTCTTCTTGCTCATCCTCATGCCAATCAAGAAAAGAGGGAGTGGATTCCCCAGCTTCAAGAGTGGGCAACAAAACTAGGCAGTAAGCAAGAATCCCAAACTTCAGCCACCTTTTCCTAGGCAGGGATTGGCCTCCACAGATCTAGGCCCATTGGGAAGAAAGAGACAGATCTCTGGAATCCACTGCTGGCCCTTCCTCAACAGCCTTTGCTGCTGGGAGACTGCAAGGGAGATAACACCACATTTTCTATGGTCACACCTGGTTAGCATATGAGCTCTCACCTCAAACTGCCTGGGTTCAAGTCCCAGTTTAAAACTCCCTATAAAATGTAATAATGTAAGTAGAAGTATAAGCCTTAGCATCCAGGATAATCTGAGTGCCTGATAAACCTTGGCCATTGTTATCCCAAACAAACAAAGGATTCCTAGAATAACCAACAAAGATTTCTAAGCACCTGCTTCTGTACAACACTGGAAGGCAGCTACTTCATTCATTCAACCAACAAATAGAGTCACGCATCACTTAAGGACGGACCATGACCTGAGAGATGCATCGTCCGGAGACTTCATCACATGAACATCACAGAGTGCACCTTATACAACCTACATGGCACAGCCTGCGACACACCTCGGCTCTGTGGAAAACACCATCAAGGAAGGACACAATCGGCTACTGACTGAAATATTGTTATGCAGCAAACGACTGCATTTAACTAGAAGTTTCTAGGTACCTGATTTTGTAATCTAATGCATTTAATCTATTTAATAATCTAGGCATCCATATCTATCCATCCAATTTTTACCTAAGCACCTAGATGCCAAACTGTGACAGGATACAAGGTACACACACACATAAGCACCTACACACACTCCACAAATATAAACGGAGCATTCCTTTCTACTGGTGAACAAAACCGTGGTCTCTAGCTAGCCCTGTGGAAACACTGGGGGAGATGGGTAAGTTCATGTCACCTGCCCAGACTTTCACGCCAGAGAACTGTGCCGGGTTGAAAACTGCAACTAATGCAATCTGGCCAACGTAAGAGGAGCTGAAATCTCAGAGGAGTCAGCCTGGTGTCCCTGCTTATCCCCAAAGGCCCTCCCTCACCTACTCACTGCTGGGCCCTCACCTGCAGGTCTCGGTTGTGGTTTTCACACAGGAGCTGCAGGAAGCGCAGGATGGGTTGCATGATAGTGATGACTGCGCTCATCTCCAGGTCATCCTTGGTCTTATCGGCCGTGGCCTGGGTGCCTTCCCCGGGCTGGTAGTGGTCATCAGGGTCGGCCTCCCTCCTGAAGGTGGTGAAGGCTTTCCTGGTGGCAGCAGACGCCTCTAGGAGCTGATCCCGGACCTCTTCCGTTATCTGTGTCGAGGGCTCTTTGGCTAGAAGGCAAGAGTGAGATGGTCAGTGCTGTGGCACTCTTAGGAATGTCCTTCATCATGCACGCCTAAGTGTGGTCAGAAGCCCAGGTTCCTGCACTTGCTAGGGATTGCAAGGTTGGGGAAACACTCCAAACGGTCACCATCTTCTCTGAGGCCTTGGATAGGGTGAAAATGGAGCCAGGTCTTGCCACCTTGCTCATGCTTCTGGCATATCATCTAGGCCTGCGATGTGTTTCAGAGGAAAAGAATCAGTATAGGCTCTGTAACCTCATGAGCCTAGGCTCTGAGTCTCAGCTTTCTCCTTGGTAAAATGGGAGTACATCAGTGAGTTGTATCTTGGGAACGTTCCTCAGAGGCTCATAATGCTAGTCTCAAAAGTAATTGTTATTACTACTGTAATGACAAGTGACTGACCCTTTACCAAATGCCAAGATACCATGATTAGGGCATTCTGTGTGTATTATCTTGTCCTCAATCCTGTGAAATAATGGTGGCAGTACAATTAGGAGCACAGACTCTGTAGCCACACTGTCTGGGTTCTAATGCCAGCTCCACTGCCTTCTAACTGCATGGCCTAACAAGTTAATTACCATACCTGTGCCTTAGTTTCTTTACCTGTAAAACAGAGATAACCATTTTATCTATTTTACAGGGTTAACTTGAACTTTAAAAGGAATTGACACAGATAAAGAACTCTGAACAGTGAGTGCTCTGCTATAGTTAAGATCTGGGGTGTCTCCCCCAAAGCCCATGTGTCCTCAGCCTGTGGTAGGCTATTGAAAAGTGGTGGAACCTTTAAGAGGTGTGGGAGATCTTACGTTACTAGGGTGTATCCTTGAAAGGGGTTGAGGGACCAGGTCTTTCTTTTTTGTGCTTCCTTGCCATGAGGTGAGTGGTTTTGGTTTTGCTCTGCCATGTGGTCCCACCATGGTGTCCTGCCTCGAGACAGGCCCCAAAGCAACATACTAATTGATTACTGACTGAAACTTCTAAACCTGCAAGTCCAAATAAACCTTTTCTCTTCATAGGTTGATTTATTTGATATAGTGACAGAAGGGTGAATAACACGTCTGACTCATACTAAGAACTTAGTAAATAGTACTCATTTTTCTTTTTCTTCTCTTTGTTCCTATTCTAGAATAGTGATCTAGTTGGAGATATCTTTGACTGAGGTGAGGGTATGCTACCAGCATCTAACTGGTCAGAGATCACATGTGCTGCTCCATATGCTAGAGTGCCCAGGGCAGCTCCAACAACAAAGAACTTTCCAAATGTCAGTTGTGCTGTGTTTGAGAAATCCAGTGCTGAACTAGAAAAGTGAGGCTCTGAGGAGTTAATTCATTTGCTCAAGGTTGTTCAGATTCCCAAATCTGGGGGCCTACCCACTTCCCAGTGCTACTACCTCTCACTGGAAGTGAGATCACATATGAAAACAGAAAATAAAGAGAAATTACCTAACCAAGGAGTGGCACCAGTTTTAAAGTATGTATTTCCCTCAACTTTCTCTAACACTAAATGGTAATTACAGGCAAAGAATATTCATGGATCTCTGGCTGGGTATGGTGGTATATGCCTGTAATCCCAGCTATGTGGGAGGTGGAAGTAGGAGGATTATAGTCCAAGGCTGGCCCAGGCAAAAGTGTGAGACCCTATCTAAAAAAACAAACTAAAGTAAAAAGGGCTGGGGAAATGACTCACGTGTGAGGGCCTCAGTTCAAACTCATGGATCTCCTATCAATAAAACCCTTGGCTTGACCGAAAAAGTATTAATTAATTTATCCAACAAGAAGACTCTCTTAAGCTCAGGTCACTTAGGGGAATTGTTTCATAACCAGATAGGTTGTTTTCTTCTTCAAGCCCATGTCAGAATACAGCCTGCATTCTAGAAGTCACGAAAAACGTCAAGAAAAGCAAGGGGCTCCTCTGCCGTTCCCAGTCCAGCTGGAATAGGAATGAGAATGTTACCTTTCTTCCGGGATGGAGCATCCCTGTCTATTTCATCGTCTTTCTTTTTGTTTCCCAAGTCACTGGTGTTCACTGTCACCGTTGCCTTGATTTCCTGCTGGGCCACCTTCATTCGGTCATAAAAGACCTTAAAGAATTTCTCTGACTTCTTATCTTCTGTCAACCGGCAGAAAAAGGAGTGCTGCCAAGAGAGTCCACAGATGTTCAACTCTGTGACAGACCGGTTACTGAACCCCACTCAGGACCCCAAACTTAACGGAGGTCAGAGGCAGTCACACACCTCACACGCAAGCTAGGATTCGACGAAGATTAAATACCACTCCATACAATCTCATCCTCCAGGGTGTAACAAGTGAGGTTTTCAACATGGAGCCTTTAAAACAAATTTCTCCTTGGACTATTAATGTATATTAGTAAACAAAATGTGTTCACCACAAACAAACTGGAGTAATCATAAGGACTATGGAAGCCTGCTAAGGTGTGCTGGGCAGACTGCAGCCAATAAGATCCACCCCCCTACCCCATGCACAAAACAATTTCATTAACAATGGGAACAGAAGCCGTTTATGGTGGTTACTGTAGGGCAGTCATTTGTTCAAGGGCTTCTCTGCACTCCTCCCCTGTGCAGAGCCCTAGAAAAGACATGTACCACCTGCCCCGTAAGGCTCATTCACAGGTAAGGATGACACATCCACAAGTCAGACTGAAATGGGAAAAGTGCTCAGGAAGGCATACAATTATATTACAGAAGCCCAGAGCTGACGAGGCTAACAGTGGGCAGCAGTGACCTCAAAATCTTCATGAAAAATGTCACTTTCAAAGGCGGCCTCAAAGGCCAGGTAAGATGTTTTGCTCAGATAAAGAAGCTTGGAATTACCAGGTAGCTCGCCTCTTGCATATGCATGTGTTTTTGGACCCACTGCAAGCAACAGTATGCACTGTTGATATAAAAACACAATATGGCATCTCAACTTCATTTATGAGTATTCGCTTTTCACCCCTTGCAAGCACCACACTGTTGTGAGTTATTTACATAAAAATACAATACGGTCATTTCTAGAGGAATAAAACAAAGTTCCAAACAATATATTTGCTTCTCTCAGGAGACCTTTCCACCAATTTCCTATCTTTTGCCGTTGGAAAGATGAAACTTCCGTGCACAGGGAAGTCCTAGGTAGTCTCCCAATCCTGGAGAGAACCACAATCTTCCCAGCCCCTTGAAGTCAATGCCTCTACCTTTCACCCCTTTGTGCCTCCCCATCCCATGCCCAAATTCATGGGATGGTCCTTAGAGGACCATCATACTTCCTTTGGCCACCATGAAAATGGAATCACTTTGGTTCTTCTGGCCACTGACCATCATGCCAGGCTGACCAACATCCATCCTGTCCCATTTGCCCACAGTGCACTTCTTAATTGTGTCCTTTCCTCTTCCTCTCACTGTTCCTAACTTCTGGTTGTTTCTTGTGTACAACACAGGATCCACCCTTCCTATCTGCACTCTCTGGTTCGAGTTTTTCCCTCCCAAATGCCTTTACACAAGTCTCCACCTCCCAGACTGCTTGGCCTTATCATTCTGTGTGTCACCGAGTCCTCCAATACCCCCTCCTCATCTTAAGTGTCTTCACTTGTCCTTTCTTTTAGGTTTCCTACTATTTCATCCATCCGTCCACCCACTACTGTGCACCTGTCATGAGTTGGGCACTGTGTTAAATAAAAGATAAACAATGGTGAACAAAAAAGGGTCCTGGAACCTGCTCTCCCTCCATGAAGCTGACAGTCTGGTAAGAAAAGACATAGTAATTTGACAATCATCTTAATGACCATTTACTAAAATAGCCTTTTGTCTCTAGGAAAGGGACCCAAGAGTCTGCTGCTAAATAGCCCTGTGGCAGACACTCAATGACACTGTCCTTCTCTTGCTATCCTTGGTTCTTCCCATTCTCATCGCTCAGCCTTGACACTAATGTCACCTCTGCAATGAGGCCATTCCCAAAGATGTGCCCATGCCAACAGCTTATCTCACATGCCCTGTTCAATTATCTCCACAGCAATGGAACACTCTGAAATCACATTGTACTACTCATTGTTCATCTGCCCACTGTCTGTCTTATGCAGAGTGTAAGCTCTATGAAGGCAGGTGCCTCGCCTGCTGTTGAGAGCCATCTCCAAGCACCTTGAAGTGGCTCAGCACACAGAAGGCTAAAGAATGACTCTAACCCAACATTTTATTGCTTCTTTCAAAGGAACACCCCAATCACATCCCTCTGACATTCAGTGGACATGACAAAATAAATACCACCAAATAAGTTAATTTTGGAAAACAGCTCAAATATCAGACACCAAGTTCCAATTATTTACCTCTTTTAGAGCCAACACATCTACAAACAAAATGAAATATGCAAAAATGAAGACTATAAATGATAGCCATCCAATTATAGGGACTGGACTTTGTCCAAGACAGGACATACAGCATCTTCCCACATCTGGGGTCACAGGAGACTGCTATCTAATGCTGGGGTTCACCAGAAGGTGGCCCTGTGGGTAATTTACAGTTGCCACCCCAGCATGGAACAGCTTTAAAAGTATTGGGGGACAATCAGGTCATTTAAGAATATAAATGCACTTTAAGTAAGGAAATACATTACAAAATGAAGCCTGCCACCTCTGATCTGTAAGAGTGCAACAGGGCACAGACAGCCTACTACAAACCAGAGCTTCTTAGGGTCCAGCTGGGTAGCCTAGCCCAGGTCAGTTGACACCTTCAGGGCAAGGGGTCCCTCTGAAAGAGACAAGGGAAAGGGACCTTCCATACGTATTTCTGCGCCTGTTTATTTACTTTGCATTATTTACATCAGATCTCAGTCATCCCCTCAAGGACTTGCAGCAGCTTTATCAACAGAACAAGAGCAATCAAATAATAAAATGCACACTGAGGTCCAGAAGACAAGGGGATCTTTGAAAACCAAAAGGGGAAAAGGGTGGTTGTCTGGAGGGGGGAAAATGCTCCAGAGGAGGCTCAGGCTTGCTTGCTCCAAGGTCCCTGGTGGTGGTCAGCTCAATCAGGTGTTTTACTTATGCATCTTCCTATCAACAGGAGAAATGCCATCAGCACCTATGAGAAGGAAAGGCTCTTAACAGAGGGGTGCACAGGGCAGGCTCCCCCATGACAGCCTGAGCCTGAGCTCTGGGCTTCCTCACTGGCTCTGTGATCATGGGCAAACCACCTGTCCCTTTTCGAGCCTAGGTAAAAGGGTGCCACAGTGCACACAAAGTGCATGACACCATGCCCACTGCCCATGCTAGCTGCTTCTCTGCTGCCATGGCACTGGTAGGATGTGGAAACACTGCAATGATGGAAGCCTGTGAGCAGCTATGGAGGGTTGGCATGATGCCAAGAACTCTTGTCCCTGCATCAAAAAGACCTGGACTCCAGCTCTACCACTTACTACCAAACGTCACCTTAGAAACTGACAACTTCCATGAAGACTCATTCTCCTCACCTGCAAAATGGCACTATATGAGTTCTTCATGGGTGGTTTTGGAGGCCCAATGGAACGATCAGAGCAACCCTCATGCTCGCTCATGGTTACTGACTGCCTATGAAGTCCTACTGGGAACCTTCACACGCACACCTCTTTTATTTTTTAAGAGATCAGGGGACCCTAAAAGTTAATGTACGTTAAATACTTTAGCACACCCCAGAGACACCCAAGCTAACCAGGAAGACTACAATCTCACCAGGATGCCCAGTGAGTTTGGCAGGAGGACAACATGAGGGCAGGATGAGCTCAGGCTAAATAAAGACAAATAAAGCTTAAGAAAGACATTTGGCCTCCAGAGAGGAAGTGCTTGTTTCTTTCATAAGAGAAGTGAAAAGCCATGGCAGTGTGGGTGAAGAGCTAAAGCCTTCCCCCATAGAAGGATGTGTGCAATGGGAGCAGAAAGAGACAAAGCCACAGGGGTCCCAGAGCAGGACTCTGGAAGGGCCTGGCCATGACTGCTGGAGGCATTTACCTATCTAGTGTGATGAAGACTCAGAGGAAACAGGGCCCTCCACACAACTCACAGACCAGTTCACTAAACCTCTTCCTTGGGAAGGGGAGCAGGAGCGCCCTCCTCAGGACTGTCTGCCTAAGTGGGACCTACGACCAGGGCAGGGAGGTTATGCCTTCCCAGCCCTCAGCTCTACCTGGCATCCCTCAACCTACTTCAGTTCATTGTCCCTCCCTGAAAGCCAGGAGCCAATAGTCACAGGAAGATTTTACTTTTCCAAATCTTTCCTCTGACCCCACCTGAAGGAACCCTCCCGCATAAATCTGGTCTACAGCATGAAATGCTAAAGGATGGGTGACAGAAGTCAACACGGCAGTTGATATGGAGGTGTGAATGGGAAGGTATCACAAGAAGGAACAGGAGAATGTCCGGGAGTGAAACACCATCTTGAAGAGAATGGTAGTTACACAGGTACACAATAACAGCCCCTTTAAAACACTTGCACGCCAATCCCTGGAGCCTGTGAATGTCATCTTCAATGGCAAAGTGGAATTGGTGAGGCACATGGTATAAAGATTGCTAATTATCCAACTTTAAAATAAGGACCTAATCCTGGATTACTCAGAGGGGCCTGAAAATGTCACCACCAGGGTCCTTAAAAGTGGAAGAGGGAGGCAGGTGAAGAGAGGGGACAAAAGCAACATGAGGAAGACTCAACTAAATTTGAAGGAGTAGGAAGGGGCCACCAGCCAAGGAATGTGGGTGGCCTCCAGAAGCTGGAAACAGCCAGGGAGAGGACTCTCCCCTGGAGCCTCCAGCCAGGAATGCAGTCCCATTGGCACCTTGACTTTAGTCTACTAAGGTGCATGTTGAACTTGTAAGATAAAAAATTTGGTAAGTTGAAGCCACTAAGCTCAGGGCAATCTGTTACATTAGCTATAGAAAATAACACAACAGGTAGAAAAGCATTTGTTAAATCTAATCAAGCTGTGCTCTTAAAAGCTGTGCATATTACTGTATGTAAACTATATCACAACACAAAGAGGAGAACCTGTTTTGTTTCCAAAAAGGGAAGTACACAAAGCTGTGCAGGCCGGGGCCCTTCACAGGGCCCCTCCCCACTCTGCCTGCCACACACCGACCTGGCCTCACCCTCCTGTTATCTCTAAATCACATCTGATGCCA